GTTTATCAGTACATGGTTAGTAAATATTTTTAATATGTAGGACAATAATTAAGACACAATAACACGCCGAATAAATACTAATTCAGAAGTCAAACAACAAAAATCAGCGTTAATTCACAAAATTTTCACAGGACTAGTTTCGATGGTTTTACCGAACCATCATCTTCAGCTGCAAAACCGCAAATGAACAAGATAGGAAAAAATGTTTAGATAAGATAAGAAAGCCTGGACAAGAATAAGCAAGTGGCGCCATCTGTTGGCGAAACCAGAACTAAAACATAATTTCTCTAAAAGCCGAAGGCAAATTTGGATTGGAATTAGGATCGTTAACTAGAACAAAAAAGATTTTTTATGAATGTGAATGCCTCCAGAAAAATCCAGTTCTCCATGGGAAGATGTTTTTTGAATAATTTTGGCAGCAGAAAAATTGAAAGTGTGATTTTCGGACCAACAATGTTGAGCAAACAGAAGACTTCTGTGTTTCCTTTTTTTAACATATGCCTCATGTTCTTTGACGCGAAATTTTAAGGCTCTCTTAGTTTAGCCAATGTAAATTAAACCGCACTGGCAAGGAATCCTATAAATACCCCAGGAATTCATATCCGGAATGGGGTCCTTGAGTATAGAAGTTGGAATTTTATTGACGGGAGAGTAAACAACCCGAAAGTTAAATTTCTGCAAAATATGTGCAACTTTATAGCTAATTGATCGAAAGAAGGGAATGACAACAGAATTTTTATAATCTCCTAAAATAAGAGTGTGGCTTTTAGTGTGTTGAGATGAGAATTTTTTAACTGCTTGATTAATAATGTTGGGTGAAAAGCCCCTGTCAATAGCTATTGCTTTTAAATAATTTAGTTCTTTATCAAGGGCTAGTTTGGAGGAGCAAACTTGAAGAGCACGGAAAACATAGAAATAAAATGAAGCTAACTTTAGTTTAGTCGGATGACATGATTTAAAGTATGGTGGAAGGCAAACCGATGAAGGTTTACGGTAAACTGTAGTACTGAAGTTGGATGTGTTACGTGTGACCAGAATGTCGAGAAACGGAAGAGAATTGCAAGTCTCAAGTTCAAAAGTGAACTGAATAGCAGGATCAATAGAATTCATTGTTGAAAGAACTCTATTTAAATCATCTTTATTACCTTCAAACAGGGTAAAAGTATCGTCTACGTAGTGGAACCATGCCGGGAAGTTTAAAGTTTCAAACAATTTTCATTCATAATAATGCATGTACTCGTAGATATCAGCCAGGATGGGACTGAGGGGGCTTCCCATGGCTAATCCCTCAGTTTGCTTGTAATATTTATTTTAAAAAATAAAATGTGTTTGTTTCAAACAGAGTTGAGTGAGAGAAATTAGCTCATCAATTTCGATGCAAGAGAAATGAAATTCGCGAAGTCTGGTTTCTAGACATCTTAATGCACCCTCCACTGGGACATTGGTGAATAATGATTTTACATCAAAAGAAACCATAAGTGAATTACGAGGAGAAATGTTTTTAACCTTTTTTACAAACTCTATTGAATTTTTTATGGTGTAAATGTTATTGTCTAATAGAGTGGAAAATCTAGAAACTAAATATTTAGCTAATGGATACGAGGGCAGTACCCTAAATTTGAACACATAGGGCGGAAAGGAATACCACTTTTATGAATTTTTGGAAGAGCATATAATCTGGCACTATTCGCAACAGATGGGATAAGCGAATGTTTTAAGTTGCTTGAAATGATTTGCGAAGATTTGATCGCAGTTTTTATTTTGGATAAGTCCGAAGGTGAAGGATCTTTAGGGATCGGATTATATGGTCCTTCGTTTAAGAGTTTTAGTTCTGGTTTCGCCAACAATTTAATTAACAACAGTTCTGGTTTAGAAATTATGTTTTAGTTCTGGTTTCGCCAACAGATGGCGCCACTTGCTTATTCTTGTCCAGGCTTTCTTATCTTATCTAAACATTTTTTCCTATCTTGTTCATTTGCGGTTTTGCAGCTGAAGATGATGGTTCGGTAAAACCATCGAAACTAGTCCTGTGAAATTTTGTGAATTAACGAACGCTGATTTTTGTGTTTGACTTCTGAATTAGTATTTATTCGGCGTGTTATGTGTCTTAATTATAGAAGCCCCAAACAGGCTTACATTTTTTGCTTTCTTTTTGCACGTGGTGTGGTCGCCATTTTGTGATTGTAGGAGTTTCGGTGAAGTTCTTTTTTGCAATTTTCAAGTTATGTTTATGTTTTGTACATTTGGATATTGTTGCTTTGCTTGTCTGATTTCATGCATTTTGCTTACAAACATTTTGTTTTCTATTCATTTCAGTGAGGGATTTTTTCTACTATTTTGTGTGTACTTTATTATTGCTCAGTTAATTTAGTTTGATTTTCTGCATTGTTTATCATGCCTTCATCCGTTAATCGTTTCACTAAAATTACGCCTGAAACGGCAAAAATTCCTGAATCATCTTGACTTTTTACTTAAATGTAACTGTAAAAAATTGAGAACCCCAATTTTATTCAAATCAAATCTAATCAAAAACCTTCGAGTCGCGTTTCAAGAATTCTGTTAAATTGCAAACTTGCCTTACTTCGGTCCGTGATAAGGGATACACGTCAACAATTGTCCAAAATTGAACATGAACTCTATAAGCTTCATCTGGAACTCGCTAAAACATATCCAAAATTTACTGCCCTTGAACAAAAGTCTTGGTCTAGAACGGAGAATGCAGTTAACCGTCATAAAAACACCCTTGCAGTTAAATTCGAAAAACTTCTTTTACAGTCTTCCAGTTCAAGTAGTTCAAAAAATCTTCCCATTGTAAACATCAAGCCAATAGTTAATATTTCTAATGTTAGTCTTTCAGCAGAAGAACAAGAGAGAATTTTAAAATATAATTTAAACTTCTCACAAAACCTGTAAACCCTCGATTCCAAAGATTTTGGCTCCTATCGAAAAAGCTTCAAGTTCAGTAAAGTTTCAGATTCACAGAAAGAAATGATTAGGCATCTTATCGCTCATAATGTGAAATTCAATAATAAACCTTTGAAACCAAATCTAACTGCGAGAGAAAGAACTACAATGCGCGAGATTCATTCTAACCCGGATATTGTCATTTCAAAGGCCGACAAAGGTGGCCAGATAGTCGTCATGGATAAGAACACTTACATCGATGGTGTCACTAAACTCTTAAACGAAGGACCATATAATCCGATCCCTAAAGATCCTTCACCTTCGGACTTATCCAAAATAAAAACTGCGATCAAATCTTCGCAAATCATTTCAAGCAACTTAAAACATTCGCTTATCCCATCTGTTGCGAATTGTGCCAGATTATATGCTCTTCCCAAAATTCAAAAAAGTGGTATTCCTTTCCGCCCTATTGTATCAAATTTAGGTACTGCCTCGTATCCATTAGCTAAATATTTAGTTTCTAGATTTTCCACTCTATTAGACAATAACATTTACACCATAAAAAATTCAATAGAGTTTGTAAAAAAGGTTAAAAACATTTTTCCTCGTAATTTACTCATGGTTTCTTTGATGTAAAATCATTATTCACTAATGTCCCAGTGGAGGGTGCATTAAGATGTCTAGAAACCAGACTTCGCGAATTCATTTCTCTGCATCGAAATTGATGAGCTAATTTCTCTCACTCAACTCTGTTTGAAACAAACACATTTTATTTTCCAAAATAAATATTACAAGCAAACTGAGGGATTAGCCATGGGAAGCCCCCTCAGTCCCCATCCTGGCTGATATCTACGAGTACATGCATTATTATGAATGAAAATTGTTTGAAACTTTAAACTTCCCGGCATGGTTCCACTACGTAGACGATACTTTTACCCTGTTTTGAGGTAATAAAGATGATTTAAATAGAGTTCTTTCAACAATGAATTCTATTGATCCTGCTATTCAGTTCACTTTTGAACTTGAGACTTGCAATTCTCTTCCGTTTCTCGACATTCTGGTCACACGTAACACATCCAACTTCAGTACTACAGTTTACCGTAAACCTTCATCGGTTTGCCTTCCACCACACTTTAAATCATGTCATCCGACTAAAACAAAAGTTAGCTTCATTTTATTCCTATGTTTTCCGTGCTCTTCAAGTTTGCTCCTCCAAACTAGCCCTTGATGAAGAACTAAATTATTTAAAAGCAATAGCTATTGACAGGGGCTTTTCACCCAACATTATTATCAAGCAGTTAAAAAATTCTCATCTCAACACACTAAAAGCCACACTCTTATTTTAGGAGATTATAAAAATTCTGTTGTCATTCCCTTCTTTCCATCAATTAGCTATAAAGTTGCACATATTTTTGCAGAAATTTAACTTTCGGGTTGTTTACTCTCCCGTCAATAAAATTCCAACTTCTATACTCAAGGACCCCATTCCGGATATGAATTCCTGGGGTATTTATAGGATTCCTTGCCAGTGCGGTTTAATTTACATTGGCCAAAGTAAGAGAGCCTTAAAAATTTCGCGTCAAAGAACATGAGGCATATGTTAGAAAAAAGGAAACACAGAAGTCTTCTGTTGCTCAACATTGTTGGTCCGAAAATCACACTTTCAATTTTTTTTCTGCTGCCAAAATTATTCAAAAAAATCTTCCATTGGAGAACTGGATTTTCTGGAGGCATTTTCACATTCATAAAAATCTTTCTGTTCTAGTTAACGATCCTAATTCCAATCCAAATTTGCCTTCGGCTTTTAGAGAAATTATGTTTTAGTTCTGGTTTCGCCAACAGATGGCGCCACTTGCTTATTCTTGTCCAGGCTTTCTTATTTTATCTAAACATTTTTTCCTATCTTGTTCATTTGCGGTTTTGCAGCTGAAGATGATGGTTCGGTAAAACCATCGAAACTAGTCCTGTGAAAATTTTGTGAATTAACGCTGATTTTTGTTGTTTGACCTCTGAATTAATGTAGGACAATATTTTACAAGTAGAAAATTGCCTGTAAAGTATAGTACAATTTTTTAAACAATCTTTTTTAATTCCAGAAAAAAGCACAACAGTTGGCAAAATTGAATGCAGAAGTATTCCTTAATGAAAGTAAGCTACAGAAAGAAGATTGGGATGCTATTTCCATGGCTCCTTCCTACAAAGTAGATACAGCAGTGGATAAAGAAGAGGAACCTTTATACACACCTCTTCACAAATGGGCATTCAGGCATCAAGTTCCAGGGAAATGATCCAAATTTTAAGATAGAGCTATTTAACTGAACAACTAATTATAGCCTCTTTTCTCAAAACTAAAATAACAGATTTAAATATTCTTGAGAGATTATTATGCATAACTAATTTTTAAAACCAAGATTTCTTTTTGTACATGGCCCAGCACATGAATCTGACAGCTTTTAAATTAAGCAGATGAACTCTGTATCAGGTATAAGAAAAACATTTCAAACAGAAAAAAAGAATTATGTGACAAGCAAGAGAAAAAAAGGTGGATCAAGGCAGCTTAAAGACCAAGACTTCAGGAATGAAAAGAACGAGAGCAAAAAATTACTCTAATAGAATTGGTAAAGAAGTTTCAGATTCATCAAATAACAGAGGAAAAGGGGTTACACTTTGTTATTAGGGCCAAAATTAGACATCTGAATCACTGACGACATGGAGAGAGGAGTGAATTGTTATGTTTCAAATCTTGGCAAAATGCAACCAAGTTTTTGTGTCATACAATAACTGGTGATGAGAAATGGGCTCTATACAAGAATGTCAAATGAATAAAATATTACTTTTAAGTCAAGGAAATCTCCAGGATCCATTGCAAAACAAAGATTACATCCATAAAAGATTCTGCTATATATCTGACAGGATTTCAGAGAAATGATGTATCAGGAGTTACGGCTGCCCAATCAAATGTTAAATAAGGAAATATGCTGACAACAGTTACCCCAGAAAAGCATCTATCACTGGCGAATCGCCAGGGAGTAACAGTTCTTCATAAAAATGGAAAATGTATTCAGTCTCAGAGAAAATTGAGAGTTACAAAAGCATGCTGTATAGGGTGGAATCTTATATAGCAATTCTTCTTCCATTCACCTAATATAACTATCTGTTTTGGTCGTTATGCAACTTTATTTGGAGACACGGTAGATGCACAAGATGCAGAAAGATGATGATGTAGAGGATTCTTCACTCTGAACTACAAACTTCTTCAGCAACAACAAAGAAGAATTCTGCATATGGGAGAAAACAGCTGAATTTGTAATTATATGCATTATATTAAGAAGTCAGTTTATAAAAATTGAAAACAAAAATTTATTCTATGTAACTAGTCTGTTATGGTGATCTCAATAATTTTTATGTCTACTATCCTATTGCTACAACTACAGTACAAAGTCCGTAATCTGGACTCGACGGGACTTCGGCGATTCCGGATTATAGATCATCAATTTAAATCTGGTAAGATGGCATGCAGAAATTATACAATTAAAAATATGAAACCGTAATTTGTGAAATAAAGAGAAATTATATTCTAAAGGGTATCAAAATTTACAACAACAACAGAAAAAAAAAAAAAAAAAAAAAAAAAAAAAAAAAAAAAGGCTTAATATTTATTTAACATTTCTTTCTTACCTTATTAAACATTTCTTTCAATGTAAGTTGTTTCATTTTTTGTGCTAATACTTTCTCTTTAATTCTATAAACAGATGTAATTTTTTGTTCAGTTACAAAGTTCCACTGTTCAAGTCCTATAATTGCTGTGTCAGGAATACCGACTAACTTATCAATCGAAATTTTTTCGTTTTCAATAACCTCTCTGTCATCTTTCTATCGGGAGCGCGCATGGGTAAATGTTTTATGCACATGCGTAAGTTTGTGGCTTTGAGGTCCGGATTATAGATCATTCTGGATAATGGACGTCTGGATTACGGACTTTGTACTGTATAAGTTTTTTCTTTGAAAAAGTTGCTTCCTTAGAAAGTTTTTCTAGGCTTTGCAATACTTAACAAGTCTCTATTCTACTTACTGGATAACTGCAAATAATACATAAAATTTATAAACACATAAAAAATGAATAAATAATTAATTTTTCTTGGAAATGCCATCAAAATGCTTTCCACCTCACTCTAACATGCACATTCTTGCAGTGTAGCCTGGAAGTTCTGCATTTTTGAAGGATATGAATATTTTTAAAAATAAGATACATATACGTAAAGTATCTTGTAATAATTAATAATTCATAAATCTTGTAATGGTATTTTTTTGTAAAGCAAAAAGTTTCACTAAATACTGTATAAAACCACTAAGCTGCAGTATGTTAATAAATTTTTCTTGAAAAAAATGGTCTGTTTATTTATGTGGCCTATTGTATACTTGTGTGCAAAATTAATAGATTTTGCACATTATGTTAGATTTCTCAAAAACTGATCGACATAATCTACATTGTGATTTTGAATTGAAAATGAGTCTAGTATTTTGTACGGTCCTCTCTCATGGCCATACAGGGTTGTGCAGTGTAACACGAGGCAGTCAATCTTACTCCTACGTAGCAAGGATGTTTTCAACACCGAGATGGTGAAATGAAACTACCCTAAAGGTTAGGAGATCTGGCTGTCCAATCTATGCAGCAAATAGCCTGCTTTTCTGGTAACTGTTGACCAGTTGAGACTGACAAGTTTTGTCATCAGGATTTATATGCAAGCTACACAAGCTAAAGCTTATGGCCCCCCAAAATCATATTTGACACTGACATAAAATATCTGGACTTATAAATAAAGGGCCCCATATCTCAAATAGCTTAGGGCCTTATCAAGTCTAAATCCAGCTCTGGTTGTCATCCATAAACAAAAACACAAGACCATCTGCACCCCTGAAAAGCTGAACATAGGGCTCTCTGTACCTCATAGTAGTCACGAAGCATTTGTCAAATACATGCAGGGGTGTGTAACGGTACAATAAAATGGCTGCTCAAACCATCACACCTCCATCTTAGTAATGATCTTTTTCCCTGATGAGGGAGAGATGGTATGTTCCGGCTCTCTCCAGATACAGATATGATAAGAATCAGTATCCAGGCTGAATCTTGACTCATCTGGTAAAAAGCATAAAGCTTCATTAAAGTCTGGTCCAAAGCACATGTTGTCTGCACCATGTTAAATGCACTTTCTTGTGTGCTGGAGCAAGCGGGATACAAACAACGAATCTTCTGGCATATAGCCATATCTCACGAAATCTTCGAACAACTGTACACCATGAAACTTGGGTTAGAGTGGCAACATACAGTTCATCTCGTTGGCCAATCCATGCACAGAATGTCCTCACTTTTAAGGTAATTGTCAATTAGCTGAGTCCTATGTGGATGAGCATGGTCATCCATTATTAGAACAAAGGACCACCTGTCTCCCTCAAAAGTCAAACATAGGGTTCTAAGATCTCTCTATACCTAATAACAAACAGGGAGCCTTTGTCAAACATATGCAGGGGTGTATGATTACCCAACATAATGCCTGTTCAAATCCACCACCATAATGATTTTTTTCCTTGATGAGGAAGGGATGGTATTGTATTCAAGGCTCTCTCCAGATACAGGTATGCAGAGAATCAGTGTTTAGGCTGAATCCCAACTCGCCTCGTCCAAAGTCTATGTTGCCTACACCATGCATAGTGTGCTGCAGTGAGCGGGAAGCACACGAGTCTCCTGGCATGCAGCCCTATCTAAAGAAGCCCTTTGGCAACTGTAGATTGTGAATCATAAAGTCATAAAATTTTTTACATTTTAGTAGGCATTCACAGAAAATTACTACTCAGGAACTCACCATGTGTTTTGACCACCCCTTTGCCACACAGATACCATAAGATTATAAACATCCATGCCTTCTCTGGGATTCAAAGATAGGCCCATCAGTACGATAGTCAGCATCTCTAGCCACTACATTGGTTGGGTGGCTTCTGTATATGCAGTTGGTGGCAAATACTTGTTTTCACGATTAAAAAAATTTTTTTTTGGCTCAAGAATAGCCTAGAACAATTGCTGAATTTGGCATTATTATCAATGAAAAATAATTTATTTAACAAATGCCTGTTGTTTGGTCAGTAGACAATTGGCTCTCTAATATTTCACCACACAACAAGTAAAAGGAGATGGTGCAGGGCCTTCGTCCAAATGTAAAGCAGCCATTTCTTATACAGCCATACAAAGAGAACATGTAGGAAAGTCCACACTGTTAAAATAAAAAAGATGGGCACGGAGGCAATCGTGCCCAGTTAACATTCTAAAAGTTACAACTGCAGGCGTACGAGGTGAATCAGGAACATGTTGTAGCCTACATTCCAAGAGTCTAAAGAGTACATTCCAAGGTCTGTCATTGGAAAGATGCAAAGCTGTATCATGAAGAAAGTACCTGGAAGTCATATCTATTTCCAATTTAGCTGAATGAAATTGCAATTTCACAAGGGGTTTCTGAAGAACAGAAGATCCCTTCTTGGCAAGATAATAAGCCCTCTCATTTCCCTCAATGCCACAGTGGGAGGGGATCCACGGGAAGGACACCCTATTAAGAAAATTCTCAAGCAAAGTCCTGCATCTTAGGATGCAGGGGTTCTCAACCCCTTTATTAAAAGAAAGAGCCCACAGTGCAGAAACAGAATCAGAAATAGATCACAGTTTTTTTAAAGGAGTTTTGTCACATAAAATGTTGTTCAATTGATATAAGAATAGACTCCATGAAAGTGAATCATGAAATTTCCAACAGGAAGACAAACACACAAAAGTTCACTAAAGATGCCAGCTCTCGTGCCTTGAGAATAAAATGAAATCAATGAAAAATAACGCAAATGCTAAATTAAATAGTCTTGTACTTGTTTTTTTGTCCTAACGTCAAAGCAAAGACATTTGTAGAGCACTATTATAGTTTGAGTTGATTATACTAATAAGTATTTCAGTTTTGAATTACTTTTAATAATGATTTATTACATATGTAGTTATGATTTTTTTAGGATGGGATATTGCCTTAAGTGGTGTCAAGTATAGCCTAGCATCAACTCAGGCTGCATCTCTAAGATTGTTTGCAAATTTGTCTGTTAACTATATGATCCTATCTTGGCTTAATACAATGAACATAACAAACACAGCTTTCAAAATGAATACATATTTACTTGCACATTTAGCATAGTTTTTCCACATATAATAAAGAAACTTTTGATTTAAGGAAAAAATATAAAAATATGCACATATAAGAAAATATACTTTAAAAAATATTACTGAATAATTAATAACTTTATCTAAATACAGAAATATTAGCATAACTATTTATTTATCGTATGTTCTTAATTTTAGCCTTCCCCTAGCAAATGGTATACACTACCTAATATCCTGCTTTGATTTTTATGAAGTAAAATTAGTTAAAAAAAGGAGAGGAGGAAGTGTGCGAATAAATATAGTAGACGTGTTTTTAAAGAAATCTTTATTAACATCAAGAAAATTAAAATATAAATTCCTGTATTGCTTAATTCAAGGCATTCTGTCAAATGTGCCATTAATTATTATATTAAAAAAGAAGAAAAGAAAAAAGAAGGATAGTGTATTTACCTAAATATAAGATTCTGCTCTTTTTTTTTTTTTTTGCGATATTTTTTATTTAAAATTTATTAGGGTCATATAATTGCATATTTTATTATTAAACAAGTAATTATCACATATATAAAAATTTCTTAACTACCACTCATTATAATAGGCATGCCTAATTGAATGACTTCCATTTAAGGCTGCATCCATTACACGGTTATTGGTATGCCTGAAAACAAATACAGTACAAAGTACAAAATACAGACCGTTGCCCCTCCCAAACTAAAAACAATATACTCCCCCCCATGAAATCTAGGAATGGAAGAATATAATGCTCAAAAAAAGGAAAGGAAACAGATGTCTGTAAATGCCATTTTTCTCCCTACCATGTTTACTAAAATTAGTAAGCAATAATTCTCATTAATTTTTACTAACATTTCAAAACCTAGCATCATTAAATGCTAATTGCTTAACACTGCATGCAAAATAAACAGTTGTAATTTTTAGTAGATACATCATCAGTAAATTAAGACAAAAGAAAAAAAAAAAAAAAAAAGAGAGAGAGAGAGAGAGAGAGAGAGAGAACGAAATATATATTTTTCAGATCTTCCATATATGTATTTCTATCAAAATGTTTTATACAAATGCACCTTACAGTATTTCACAGTTGCAAATTTAAAAATGTCACATCACAGAAAAACTCCTTTTCATTTACAGAAAGAATTACTCTTTGATTTATACAAAAATGACTTTGCTGACACTTGAATATTTATAAATATGAAGGCAAATTTTACAATCAAACGAAAGCATATACTTACAAATATTAGCATAACCACTTTGGTGCAGTCTGGTGATTTTTCATAGAAGAAAAATAAATGATGATTCATAATTGTACGAAATTATTTATTACATACACGTATATATTTTATGCTTTAATTACATATTCCCTGGAAGGAAATCCCTGAAACTGCCCATGAATGGGTTTTAATTTCTTTTTAGTACACATTTTATGGCAATAACTTCAAAGCAAATGTTCTATCCACTGATTCTGAACAACAACAACAACAACAACCAAAAAAAAAAAAAAAAAAAAAAACTGTATTTATGCATAAATTTAGCCAAAGGTCGAACAAGTACATATTTTAAAACTGAATTTTAGACAAACATTATGATTTATCTATAAAAGGGAATGGAGCTTAAACATAAACACATATGGAAATGCTGATGCTGTTTGTTAAAACTCAAGAACTGTTCTGCATGCGGTTGGCACATTTTTAATAGTCAAAAGTCGTTAATTCGGACACCCGTAATCCGGAATGATGTATAATCCGGACCTCAAAGCTAAAATCTTTCTGCGCATGCACCGCATTGACGCATGCGCATAGGCGTTTTACTCGTGCGCGCAAGACATTTACTACTGGCATATGCATCTGCGCAAGTGCAGAATACGTTTTCGCGTGCGCGTTTAATGTATAACGGAGGGTAAAAGCTAAAATTATCTAATTATCTATTTCAGTTATTGTTGATAATTGCGTTGTTCCTTAATCTTCAAATTGGATCCGGCTTATTATTTTTTGCAGACTGTAAGAGCAATTTTCTAAAAGTAAGCTTGAACTTTCGATTATGTCAAATAGAATTTCCGATGCTGGAGCTCCCAAAGGATCTAGAAAACGAAAGTATGTTTCGATGTCCATCAAACAAAAAAACGAATTGCTACAAAAAATGGATAAAAGCATATCCTTTGTTTATCTAACCGTTCCGAAATCTGTTTATCAATTTCACGCTGCTCTGCGCGAGGGGGGGCACGTCAGGGCGCGCAATGAACTGGAAATTGATCTGTCAACACTATCGTTATCTTCAGGGCAGATGTTTTTATTTTAGTCGGCTTATAATTCCTTACTAATGTAGTATTTAATTTCGATGTACTCCGTCTTTGATATGATTTAAATCAAATTCCTCGTCATTATAAATATCACGAATACAAATCACATAGTTTTCTGGTTGCAATTTTCTAATTTCGGGCTATGAGTAAGGTATGCTTTACGCATTCGCGCGTTAAAGAAATGTTTAATAAAGTAAACAAATAAATATTAGGCTTCTTTTTTGGAAATTTGGATACCCTTTAGATCATAATTGCTCATTATTTTATAAATTACGGTTTCATATTTTTTAATTTTATAATTTCTGCATGCCATCTTACCAGATTTAAACTGATTATCTATAATCCGGAAAAATCGATAATCCGGAATCGCCGAAGTCCCGACGAGTCCGGATTAAAGACTTTTGACTGTATTTGGCATTTTCTACTACGATGGTTACGCTAATATTAAGGACTGCAAAACAAAATCACATTAATCACAGAAAAATAAAATGCAATTAAGGACCAGAAACTGTTTTTGTTGCTTGTATGAATGCCATACCATGGCTTCTTAGGTGTGTTTTTAATGCTATCTCATTAGGAAAAGTTGTGAAGCATACAGAACATTCTAAAGCATTACGTGTAGAAATTTCTGTAGGATTCTCAACCTCAGGCAGGTAATTTGTTCCCTCTTCTGCAACATACTTTTTAGGATCATCAATTTTATGAACCACAAGCAGATGCTTGAGTAGTGTGGGTTCTACTATGTAACAGGCAGCACATTCTTGACATTGATATGAACTTCTCACAGTTTTGTGAGAAAGTATATGTTTTTTGAAATCTTCACGATCTGTGGAATGATAATTACATTTACTACATGTATTTCCTTCAGTGGATTGTCGTTTCTTTGCTACTGTTTCATGGACTACATTATTACTTGACTGGTTATTTTGCTGATTTGCACTGCCAATGTTATGCTGTAGCTTTAAATGGTCCTGAAGTGATTCTTCATTAACTGTAAAAAAATTAATTTAAGATATCATTCAAGAATTTTTCATACAAATAATAATTATAAACTTCAAAAACTATCAAATTATTAAACATATTAAATGCTTTTTTAAAAATTATTTACTTTGTTATGATTAAATACTTTATTTCGAAAACCTTAATGGTTATCATAAAGGGGGAAAAATCATGCGAATTCTGCTTAAGTATAATTATTTTTAAAACATACAAGAAATACGTGCTTTATACATATATATTTATTTATGAGAATTCTCCGCAAATAAACTTTCATGTTTCCTTATATAAAACATAATCGATGTATATGAAGTTCTTATAAGTTATTTTCCGGTGCACATGAAAATTCTAGGCAATATTCAGATTTAATACTAAATAATTTTTAAATATTATTGAAAAACAGAATTTTAACTCTAATTTTTTCTTAAAAAGTGAGTATAAAACAATCCCTCCACTCAAATCTGCTGATTTAATAATTGCCATTTATGTAGCTTCCACCCCTTTTTTAAATTAAAGAAGCAAAATGCTTCATGAGTTAGTTAGAAAACAATATATTACATGATCAGTTACAACAGTCCAAAAATGCATAGAATTGTATTCCTACAGTAATCCTGATCATAAGCATGCTATACTTTCAACTGATTTTAGTTTGCTTATGTAGTACTCTGATGGCCAAATGATTTTAAAAAAAAAAAAAAAAAAAAAATTGTTCTGTCATTCCTTGAAGCTATTAATGACATAATAAAGTGCAAGTTCACTCTTTCTGCACTGCTCTAAAGTATAGACTAAAATATCACAGTTTCTTAATTTCATTCATACAAGATAGAAACACCATACCTTATAAATGTACAGCGCATGCTATTATTGTGTTATTGAACATTTTTCTACTTACTTATTACGCGCTCCATCCTTAGGCAATACACGGAAAGGGAGGGATGCCCCATGGAGGATTTTTAAGGGAAACTGGCTTGTATCTACAGTACAAAAGTGGAAAACCATGAAAACGCCCTTGCAGACAGTCCGTTCTCCAGGACTCGAACCCCGGACCAAACTATCAGTATTTAGCGGCTTTTACTGCTTGGATGCTGGTGGGCCGTTATTCAATATTAGCAGTTAAATTTTACGGTAGTTATGTATCTTACATAAATTTTGTTTGTCTAAACAGTAAAAGCAACTTCCTTTGCAATAAACTTCAAAATATAAACTTATCCATCAACTGTGAAAATTTAAAAGCTCCATAAAAATTATTGAACAAGGAAATTCTGATCTAATTAACAATACTGTTAAAATCTGGACTTTTAAATATATAGACTTCTACATACAGACATTCTTTCACTCTCTTCAAGACAAGGACTTCTACACATAATTATATGGACTACTACATAGACTTTATACTTTTGATTTTATTACTTTATTAATTTTACTACATTATTGACTTTATACATATGGATATTCTACATATGACCATTCTACAAGATATGGACTTCTACATATGGTCTTTTACATATATTTATATGTTGACTTCCACATAAGACTTTATATTTTATTTTTATTTTAAAAGTTATTGAATTTGAAAGTTATATTATGTATTCAACATTTCTAATTAATTATGTTTTGAACATTAACAAATTGTAACATAATATGTACACTAAATTGTTTTAATAAATGCTGCTGAGCTGCAGATGGTGGATAGTACCCATCAATAGAGCAGACAAACCGAAAGTCTAAATGACGGTGCGGTTGCTCTATTGATGGTCTTCTGTCTAAACAGTATTGTCTAAATTAAAATATTATATTTTAATTTCTTTCATAGTATGAGACAAAAAAAAAAAAAAAAAAAAAAAAGAACATTGTAAATGCATAATGCAGCATACAGAGTACTGTAACTGCCGTTACTTTTTTCAGTATTAGCAATATCTTAATGCACTTAATTTACCAATTAAACTTTATAGCAGCTAAGCACCTTACATAAATACTGTGTGCCTAGACTGGAATGCAATAGTACAAAGTCTGTAATCCGGACTCGTCGGCACTTCGGCGATTTCGGATTATGGGTTTTTCTGGATTATAGATCATCAATTTAAATCTGGCAAGATGGCATGCAAAAATTATACAATTAAAATATGAAACTGTAATTTATGAAATAAAGAGCAATTATGATCTAAAGGGTATCAAACTTTACACACACACACACAGAAAAAAAAAAAGAGCTTAATATTTATTTGTTTATTTTATTAAACATTTCTTTCAATGTAAGTTGTTTCGTTTTTTGTGCTAATACTTTCTCTTTAATTCTATAAACAGGCATAATTTCTTGTTCAGTTACAAAGTTACACTGTTCAAGTCTTGTAATTGCCGTGTCAAAAATACCGACTAACTTGCCAATCAAAATTTTTTCATTTTCAATAACCTCTCTTGTCACTTTCTAAACTATTGGAAGCGCGCATTAAACACGCATATGTAAAGCATACAAAAAAAAGTTTGTGTCTTTAAGGTCCGAATTATAGACCATTGGGGATAATGAACGTCCGGATTACGAGTCCGAAATGATCTAAAATCCGGACCTCAAAACCACCAATGTTTTCTCGCAGGTTATACGCATGCACATTTGATTACCCCCTCCACGCATAATAAAACATCTGGAGAGTCCCGATTCTTAATTTCACTTCGACACTAAATAAAATACCTTGTTTCTGAAGAAACAATTATTTTAGCATAAATTTGTAAAGATCAGTAATTTGGCTCCGTTGCTGCATATATGCTCACCATACATTTGAAACCCAAACATTCCACATAGATATATCGTTGATCTGATGCCAACCTGGCAAATCATTATTTATTACACTTTCCTTTCATCACAGCATGTTTATCAAAACATTACAAATTGAGTAATGACTCATGTAGCGAAGCCTAAAAAAATTTTTTTATGCTAGGAATTGAATAATAAAGGAATATGGTAACCTTTTATGTTGACATTACGCCTGGCGATGATTACAGATTTAAGTTGGCGCAAAAAAATGTTGACGAGGAAAAATTAACCAAAATTTTCTTTCCATTTGCTAAAAATAGATTTTGTTGATGATACTCATAGACCTAAAAATTACATTTAGGGCTATATGAATTAAGAATAACTGATTTGTTCTTCACATAAACCCAGAACCAGCACCAGGGCTCACGTGGCCACCTCGAGTCGGAGAATTTAGGAACCACAGAAACTGCATCAGGTGGTAAGCTATCTAGCGCCGGCTCTCAATAAGGTTTAAGTATACGGTGGAAATTTATTTATTCAGAACTCTGATAAGCCTTAAGCCTGTGCAAGAAATAGACATTAATAAATAACTAAACTAATACAATTCAGGGTTAATTGTCTCAAAGCGTGACAGAAGATAAAATTTAACGGAACAACTTGTTGTTAGTTGCCAAGCTCATGATGCATAGCTAAATAGCTAAATTTGTATAGTGAAGAATAGCTAAATTTGATGATAATAGCCACTAATTTTAAAGGTTTTCGGATATCGCAAAACAAAGAAGAAATTTTCCAAATAACGGATTTTGTAAAGAAACGTGGAGAAGCGGTAATAAATGAAGATTATATAGAAGAAGTTTTTCATTTTGATGATAATACTTCTTAATCACCTATCAATTAATGAATGGCGAAAACTGCTACCAATAGTTAAGAAAGACACAGAAGTTACTGAAAACAATAAAAATTTCAATTGACAAGTTAGTCGGAATTCTCGAAATAGCAGTTACAGGACCTCAACAATGTAACTAAACAAGAGATTATGTCTGTCTACAGAATTAAAGAGAAAGTATTAGCACAAAAAACGAAGCAACTTGCATTGAAAGAAACGTTTAATAAGGTAAATAAATATCAATTTTTTTTTTTTTTTTTTTTTGTAAATTTTGATACTCTTTAGATCATAAATACTTCATTATTTCATAAATCACGATTTTATATTTTTAATTTTATAATTTCTACATGCCATCTTACTAGATTTAAACTGATGACCTATTATCCAGAAAAATCCCAAATCTGGAATCACCAAAGTCCCAACGAGTCCGGATTTCGGACTTTGTACTGTGCATTGTCTATTGTATCATTGTATCATGTAGTTACCCATGCATATTGCTTAAGATTAAAACATGCAATCCTTTAATTTCATTCATATAAAACAGAGACAAGTACCTTAAATAAAATTCAAATAATTTAAATAAATACACTCATTTTTCAAAATTAAGAGAAACTGGAAATTATGTCTATTTTTACGAAAGGTGTTGAATTAAAGGTACTAATTACGCTGCTGAAGAATTATGCAAATATTCAGAGTTGAATACTTAAGGTAATCCTCTGGGGAATATTTTCCCAGAGTCCAGTGGGCTCTTGATATGACTGAAAGCAGCTTTAGGCATCATAGCTTACCTCAGTACCAGTACCGATCATGTACACTTGTTTATGGCTACAATACTCCCGATGCAGATGGTCAGTTTCAACAGTACAATGCCCCTTGTTACCATATATGATTGATCTCAAATTGTTTCTATACCATTTCAGTGCTCTGTCATCCATCCTATCCAGTATCTGTAGAATGAAGTGTAAACATCATTTCAAAGCTTGGAAAAGCTATCATCCAATTTGAATGAAATTAAAGCTGTCATTATATCAGCATAGGCTAATATTCTACACGAAACAATATCAGTGCCTTATTGAATTTAATACCCACACGAATATTGGCTCTAATCAAAGCTAAGGGTAGAATAAAGTTTTATTAGGGAATGTCTCTAATACTGTGGCCTCCGAGTTTATGATCTGCCTTTAAAAGAAATGGAATAAAGGTTATTATTCATTTCTTTTGGTAGATTCACAATACTACTTTTTTGTGAGATTTATCCATGGTAATAAGTAAATTACTAATTTGTAATTTTGTAGTTAATAAAATATTTTTATTTTTCATGTGGCAGTCTGGTTCTATTTTGCAAAGTGTAACATGTTTAAATTTAATACATCTCTTGCTGATTGGCAATGTAAGTAATTTGAAATCAATAAACACTATTCTTCACCATAAATATAACTAACTACTAGCTGTTCTCATGAAATAATACTAGCTGAATTCATTACATGCGTTTCCTTTTCCACAGTAACTATTTTAGGCCGCGTAAACTGCTAATTCTTAAAAAAATTTAGAATGCATAAATTTTATCTTCGAAGCACTCATAGAGCAAGAGTGACAAAATACAAATATCTGCAGAAACAAATCATTCAACTATTCAGCAGAAGTCATACTAGCACAGATAATAAAAATTTTGTATCCTTTTGAAATTGTTTTGGTAAATATTTTCTTTCAACTACTATGGAAAAGGAATAAAATATATTTATTTTCATACATATGTAAAAGATATTATATTTCTCTTATCAGGTTAGACATTGAATTAAACTTCTTATCTCTGGAAGTTCATGTGGTGGAAAATGACTAACACGGTGAACTTTTCCCCTAACAAGTTTTTGCTCAAATACAAACATTACTGTAGATCTTAGGTCATTCACTTAACCAATTCAATTCTATCCTTAAAATTTAAATATTTTAAGTCAGAAAAAGTAATATTTTTTTATATTTATAATATAAAATTATAAAATCTTATATTATTGCTTCTTTTTTAAAAGAATAAGAATATGAATAATATTTACCAAATGCTATTCTGCAAAAATGGCAGGTTATTTGCCTCATGACGGCAGCTTCATTTTCCTTGCATTCACTACTCGATGCATTTTTTTCAATAAGACGATGTTCCTCGCGTAGGTGTTTCTTAGCAGCATCAACTGAGGGCAATATACTATCACATATTGGGCAAAAAGTACAAAATTCTAAATTTTCTATATGCTCAACTAAGTGTGCATCTAAAGTATTTTTATCATTATATTTTGCATTATTGCACAACAGACACACTACCTTACCACTTTCTAAATGTTTTTTTCCGTGGATTATCATGCCTTTCCTGTTTCGTATTATTGTATAACAATAAGTACAAGGTTGATTGATATTTATATGGACTCTTTGAATATGAACACTGTAACCTTGGTGACTATGAAAAACACAATGACAGTACATGCATTCGACTTTTCCTCTATATGAGACAGGTGTGGGAGCAACTGACTTAGCAGCTGTTGTTTCATTCTGCAAAACAACTTTATAAATTTTTGGATGAGTGGTTCTTATATGGTCATATAACTCAGTTTTGCTTCCTAAAGTCTTGCCACACTGCATGCAATTGAAAACATACTCACATATTTGCTCTTTAAGATGAGCTGATCTATGGGTCAGCATTTGATCACTCCTTAAAAACACGATGTCACATAAAGAACACTTATAAATCAGATTAAAACACACATCCTTTCCACCATGGTACATAGTATTATGTGCCTCAAAAGCACTAGTAGTCATATAAGCACGAGGACAAGACTCACATTTAGCATATCTTTCTGTATGCAATTCCATATGTTTCAGCAGAGCTTCGTTACTGGGTGAGACCCTTTTACAAACAGGACATTTATAACCTATACTACGGGCATTGTGAAAACATTTAAAATTAACATGGTGCGTAAAATTTGTCCAGTGAGGATCTGGACTGTCTCCACATTCAGGACAAACATACGGACTGATCTGGAGATGGATTCTTTGATGGGCTTTTAAACTACATTTCGAAGGACATACCATACCACATTTACTACACTGAGAAATAATGGCTGGTATTTTGTCACCATTAGTAAGATGCTCTATTCTATCTTTGGCACTTTCAAATTCTTCATTACAGTCTAAACATTTCACCTTTATAACACTGACATCATTTTCCTTCTCAGGAATTTTTTTCTCCATGTTATTATCATCATCAATTTCCTTAATTGAAAATTCTAAGAGGTCAGCTGGAGGTGTCAGATCAGTATCATCTATAGCATTCAGTTCATCATCAAGATTGTTTACAAATTCAAAATTTATTCCATCCATACACACTCGAGGCAGTGGACTAACAGTTGCTTTACTGATATCTGCAGCTTCACCTTTATCTGAATGGGACCTTATATGTGACAATAAATTACAACGATTATAAAATACCTGTTGAGTTTTACATGTATCGCATGGAAACTTAATGAGAACAGAGCGGCGCTCAAGGTGAAATTTTAAACTATCTTTCACAGCAAATGCGTCGCCACAATCTGTGCAATAATGAAACTCTACCCTTGAGTCAGATTTTAAAAAACCCGGAGGAGATCCGGGACGATACGGTGGCAGAGCATTAGTGCTCAATTGCTGTAAATTGTCTCCTTTAAAAGACATATCTGACACATCATTCTGTTTTATACTTAGATGTGGAGATTTCCATGTTGTAATAGGTTCACTAGCATTATTTGCAACACTAGTAGCCAAATCAGAAGTTCTTATATTAGACTGACATGTAGTTCTAGAAATAAGGGTAACTGAGGATGTAGATGGAACAGAACTAGATGAACTGCATTGTATTTTGAATTTAACAACATTTGAATTAATAGAAATATTCTCTTTTTTAGATTCACATCTTTTTGCAACAACAGGAGTAACTTTAGCTGAAAGAACTTGCTCAGATGGGGAAACATGCTCTTTATCCTGTAATAAAAGTAAAACACACAATCAAGTATACTTTTTACATAAATACAGTAGCACAAAAATACAAATAAAATAAGTTCTATTATTAAATAATAAAGAATGCATATTTAAGCATCAATGCAATCACCTTGGCAAAATTTGGCAAGTTTTTACAGATGACAAGTCAAAGTTACTTGTCGGGTAGCTAGTAATTTCGTGCTTTTTTTATATATATATCAAAGAAAGCTTCCCAAACTATAGATATTTATCATAAAACAGTAAACTTTATTAACATATGAATAGAAAACATACTTCAGCAGTTTAAAATACAAATTTGAATTATTAAATAAAAATCATGTGATACATTAAAAAATAAAACACTCAACTACTTTAAATCTTTCTGCAATTTTTTTTGCGCCTTTTCTCGAAACACAGTGATATGTTTTTGCCTAAAGAAACATCAGAGAATTTAAGAGACTCGGTTTTGTGTAATTTTGGAAATAGTGGCTATCGAGGTAATATATTTCCTCATTGTCTTCTTTAGAAAATTTTCAGCAAAATTATGTATTTTTGCAGAAATTTTACTGCAGTTACTCCCATTGCTGGCAAATTCCCCAAGCTCGAACTTCAAAACTAAGTTTAATGAAAAAATATCATAATTTGTTTACACAAACTGTTGGAACTTGGAACACAACAAAAACGAACATATAAGAAAATAGTGTCATTTCTTGACTGAAGGACCGTAATGAGGATGGTTGCTGGAAGAATGGTTATGCTCATGATGGTACATTCTGAAAATCTGGTGACTTCTACTAAGATAGTTGCAATAATATGCAAGTACTGAAGAATCAATACACAGTAGTGTACCAGAGGAGAGGTGACTGTCCCAGAACTCTCATCAAGTTGGGAACCTCTGAAGAACCTCAGTTTTTAACTACTGTTTATATGTAGGAATATAAAATAAGCAATTTTGTATCCTGGGAGGACAATTAAGTGTAAATGTGCCATTTGCTACAAAAATTACATAATAATTTTGCAGCCATTCAGTCATTCCACCTTACTGAAACAGAAACTGAAGAATTTCCGAAGTTAATTTATTTCAAGCCTCAGGCAAATTTTTTATGAGATAGAAAAAAATGAAATCTTAGCAGAAATCACATGGCTAAGAAGTCATCTTCATGTAGCAAAAGTTAAGATGAAGTTAAAAAGATAGTCTGCATTAAACATTTTAAAAGTTTATTGTAGAAATGGAAATAATCAGTCTCTAACTTATACAGAGGGTGTTAACAAATTTTTAGAGAGATTTTGATAAAATTTTTTTGCAGCAGCTTATTGCTTGAAATGAGAAATAGTCTGCTACTTTTATTCTCTTTTCAAAACGTTGCACGTAAACAAGCTGAGGATTACGGATGTTTTTGTGCTTTCTAAAGAGAAATAGTCCAATTCTATAATTAAAAACACCATGAAATGCACGGTAATAAAATTTTGAACTTCAAAATAAGAAATGTTATTATTCAGAAAAGGAAAAAACTGAATTTGAATAAACTTCGAATTTGAATAAATTGCAGAATTATTTTTTCGGCGGAAATCTTTTGGCTATTGCTTTTAGCACTAATTGAAAACTGTCTTTGCCATTAACAGCTTGAGTTTGGTGCCATATAAATTCGATAAGGTATGAGTCAAGATGATATTTTAGCAAAATTTACATCAATTTCTTTCTTTTTAGCATTTAAGTTTATTTGTTTCAATAAACAAATCAATGTTCCCACTAATCTTTCCTTCATCTCCTAATTTATTAATGCTTCGACAATGTACCTCTGAAGAAAAATTTTCTCTTTTTTTATAAAATCAATTTTTCTTTCAATGAATTTCAGGTACTCTCTGAACAGGCGATCTGCCTTACTTAACTGTGTAGTTGCTTTATGGATTGATAGGTGGGGTCACTAAAATTGTTGTTTATACAAATTTTTTCTTCAGCCGTTTTATTCAAATTTGCATGATCAGTTTTATTATTTAATATTAATAATTTTCTAAGTTTTGTAAAATAGCATTAATTACATCTACATGGAAAGAAGACTCCAAGCGAATATCTGAAAAAGGTTCGTACTGTTTCTTAAGTTAAATCATTGGTAACAAAAGAAAATCCGCCAATGCAGAAATCAAATAGCCTTTAAATACATTTGTAGCAATGTTAAATAAAATAATAAACCAAGCTTTATAACTGAAAGAAGGCCCCCCCCCAAAAAAAAATCAGGATTTATACACACTTCTGCACATGGAAATTAAGTACTTTTATGGACCACCAATGAAAAAAATTAAGGAATCAAGTACGTATTAAGTCAACAGCAAACGAACAAGCTAAAACAAGTACCTACACCATAACTTCACATTCGTAATTTGTAAGAATAAAATAAATCTTTATGTATTATTATTAAACATAATGTAATATTTAATTATAAAGCAAATTCAAGAATAAAATTGACTTCATAAACATTTTCAAGAAATTAAATCATAAAATTTCTTGAAACTTTTATATTTTACACTTATAATAGTCCCAGATATTTTAAAGATTAGTGGCTTTTTATTAAATTTTACGAACAGTTAACTTTATATTAATTCTTCCTTTCATGCCTCATTTCATCACATATTTGCTCAGTCCAGAGGTATATGCAAATTTTATGGCACGTGGCACAAAATGTGAAATAAAATAATAATCGGCCTGACTCATGACAGAAGTCTGTTCACTGCAGCTACATGCTTAGAGACAAAGAACCACAGATCAGAATAGACCTGAACAGATGTCATTGGTATGGTTGATGTGTTGAAAGTTAGCTTCACTTTGTCTGACCCAGTTGTGTTGTAGCTTCATGTAGATTTGCTGAAATTGTAACGTAGTAGTTAATATGCAGCATTTAATATAAAGTTGGAATACATGGCTGAAACATAAGAGATGATAGGTTGTTTTATATATTATTTTAAGTTTCATTAGCTGTACGGAATAAAGTTTTATGTTAATTTTTGTATTTTTGTGTTATATCTTGCATCAACAATTAGGGTTAAGGAAAGGAAATAACTCACCTTAACATGTAGAAATAACTTATAAGGGTGAGCAGTTAGTTACAAATAATTAAATTAGAGCTAGACACTTTCAGTCATAGCAGATTTACAAGGCTACAATTACATTTAAAAAAAAAAAAAAAAAAGGAATATCCTCGCTCGTAACCTTTTACGCCTCATTTTCAAAACAAGTAGCAGCTATTTCTTATCAGATTGATTGTTTCTTTCAATACTGGCATAGAATTACATAGAATTTTTACGAGGTAGTTCAATTTTATACCCTAAAGCAATTCGCGGTAATTAAATCAATTAGGATGCAATGACACTGCTCACCCGAAGGCGAAAATATAGGAAAGGCAAAGTCAAGGGTTAAATTCATCAATTCTAATGAGAATACACTAGTGAAGTAAAACATTGTGGTTTTACATAATTTCTGAATAAGCTATTCGTATGAATTGAAATAATTCTTGCATTTAAAATTGTATTCCAAATTAAGATTTAACTTGAAATTAATGTAGATATGATGTAGTGATTGAATATAGTTATGTAAGTCTGAAGACAAAAAATTTTAAAATTTCGGCAGAAATTTAAAATTTATGTTTTCTGCACTTTGAGGACACAACCCAGCTGAACATACTTATGTAAAATATGGGTAAAAAGCTTTTCAACTTTTAAATTCAATATTATTATTTTATAAAAAAATTTAGCAAATATAACACTGCATGTGTAAATCGTTTCATGCTGTACCTGAACTAGTATAACATTACAAGCAGATGTAACTCGGCCGAAAATTAAAAAAAATTGAAAAATGAAACACTACAACTCAGCTCAGAAAGTATGTTGCATTTCTGAAGTTGTATTTTATGCTTTAGATAATATGTGAGAAAACCATGCTTCATACTATGATACGAAGAATTGCTCCCCCCCCCCGCACACACACTTTAGATCAACGAGGACTGTAAGGGCCCCTTTTTTACTTCCTTGTACAAAGTAAAAAGGAAGTATTGTAATCACGAAAAGCTTCAGGCAGCATATAATAAATATCCACTTTGATTGCTTTCGAATGCAATTTAACCATGTTTTTGCGTGATATCTGTACGTAAGGACAGAATAAAAGACTCTTTTCCTCCAAAAAAAACTAAAAAACTGCTTTAAAATGAATTCTGAAGTGGCGTCTGTACGAACGTATGTACATATCTCGCATAACTCAAAAACGAGTACCTCACAACGTTGAAATTTTGTATATAGGACTACTATAACATGTAGATGTGCACCTCGTATTTTGGTTTCAATCGGCCGCCCCAAACGTATATAAATATATTTATAAATATATCCACTCTGTTACCCAGCTCAGTGATCTCAGTTTCTTTACTCTTATATGTTTGTAAATTGTACATTTTTTTCTTTAAAAATGATTGAATTATGTTGTTCTTATCTTCCGGTTAAGGTTTTTATGCTTTTAGTAAATCTGTATGCAATGTTTTTAGAATTATCAACAATTTAAAAGTTGTTTAAGTGCCGCTAAGCCTATTTTGATGGCCGCCATTGCTTGTTTACATTTGAAACAGCTGAGTAGTGAATTTGTTGCCAATCTAGAGAAACGTAGCTTCGCAACAACAAAGATAAACGCCTTCATTTATTATTACGATTTAAATCATGCTTAATCCTTTTTGGAATTTTTTCGAGGAATCAAGTGTTTAAGATTTACTTAATTTTTAATAATTTGTAATTTTTAGTAGAGATATTTTGAGTTTTTATGTATTTTTGCCTTGTCACCAAGCGAGAACTGAATTAATTGAATGAGAAATACTCAATCGTCTGTGAAAAACTGTTTCTTTTTTGTTTTGCTTAATTTCTTTTATACTTCGTTCTAGCTTTATTATAGTACTTGAATAGAACATGTGGCAACGATTAGATAATTCTTTAAATGATACAAATTTTTTGCATTCTGAGTTATAATATGAACAAAATATAATACTGTTAAGTGAACCTAGCGCCAGAGTGTCGCTATGGTAAACACATACTTGAGTGAATTTTAAAGAATGCATTTATTCTATTGTGGTTTATGCGGTGTCGGCGAAGCAGATTTAATTAAATCCAATAAGTTTAAATGAAATGCAAGAAAAAATGTGTATAATTTAATATTCTGTACAAAGAAGTCATGTGGTGCACACATCAGATTTTTATTTTTTGTAAATAGAGGTTGTAATATATCTTTTTGTTTAGGAAGGAACATCGTTAAACAATTTTATTATTTGATACACCTCAAAGCTCTTATTTTGGTTTTCAACCCCTTTGGCTTCCTAGGGGCTCCTTTTCAACTTTTGGATAAATTTTAATTTGCATCTAAAATGGGCCTTGGAAATATTTTCCCTCCTTTCACCAACAGTGAAAATTTATTTCGGAAACAACCTATTTGTATCAACCAGAGGGCAAATTTCTCTTGTGTTCTCTAGTCTTTCACCTGAAATCAACAAAGAATTAAAAAGAATTTCCGTAAAGAATAAAAGCATGCTTTCAAACCAGCAGTTTTTGTGGTTTCACTATGAGATGGACCTTAAGTACATTTCCATTTTAAGTGAGCTTTCCCTTTGTGTGATCTCATCACAACTCACAAAGGGAAGAAGACATGACTCTTGAATGACAAATAAGTTGTCAATCACCTCTTTTTATTTTCCTTGCATTCTAGGATTTTGAAAAACACGAAGCAATGAGTGTCTTTTGGGGGATAACATGCCCCATTCAACCCCTACAATTGTGTAAAGTTTTGACCCCAGACGGCAATTTTGAAATCGATAAGTCTTTCTCTTGGGAAAGGGATAAGTGCTGAAATAAAAATTTTAGCTAAACACAGATGAACGAAACTTGAGCTGAGTACACAAAAAATAAATGAAACTAATATACTTGTATTTAGTCCTAGCATCCCCATCCCTCCATGAACATAATATTGAATCCTAAATGACTTATAAATTAATCATGAAAATTTATTGCATCATAAACTGTTATAATAATGAAAGAAATTCTGTTATGTCACATAGTAGAGAAAAGGAGAAGACTTGTGCTGCCATCTATTGGCATGGTACCCTCAGTGTGGGCGGCGGTATATTTTATATACCGGTTTTAAAATTGTATAAATAATCTTCTGCTAATTATCACTTCTGACTGAAATGAAGTAAATATATAAGATTCAGCATGTGTACATCATGTATTTGCAGATTTTGAATTTTTCCTTTCCCTTCAATAGAACTTATCAATCTTCCAACATGATACCTTGGAATGAGGTATATTAATTTCATAACTGCAAAATATTGAGCATTCATGGGGTGATGCTGCCATTTAGAATTGAAAGGAAACACTAGACACTTACGATTATAGCTTTTGGTGTAGAAAAATTAGCATTTTTTCGGAGGTTAAAAAATTGACAAACAACCTATATATAGTACATACTGGTGCCCTTCAAAGGGATAACCATATGAGCAACATCATAATTTATATCGGATCGTAAGTTTGCTCTGCTTCAGTTTCTTTAATCCGTTCTGCAAATTCATCTTGGTCTCATATTTTTATCAATCCCATTTCCATAATCTGCCCATCGTAGCATGTAATATGGCAAAACAATACATCAAACAAAATATACTGCACGCACACACACACACACACACAAAAAAAAAAAAAAAAAAAAAAAAAAAAAGAAAAGAAAAGAAAAGCATAAGCAGCTATTAAAAAATACGCAGTATCATAACAGAACATATTTTACCAATAAATTACAGCTTGACTTACATTCCTTTGGGTATTATCAGAAGGATTTAATTCATTTGCTGCCATCACAAAAGCTAAAATGATAAAAATAAATTAAATAAGCATCTGTAATAGGAAACAGAATTTTTAGCAGATACACACAAACAAAACAAAAAAAAAAAAAAAAAAAAAAAGAGAGAGATACACAGACAGAATATCAGAATATATACTTGGATTGGGATTAACATCACTCATAAACTGCTCTGAATAAAAATAATAAGGAAGAATAACTTTCGGTTGATCTTTGGATTATGGTAACTTGGCGATTTTTTGGCGACCAACTCTGCTACAGCAACCCTCTATTTTTTTTTCGCCGCCATTTTGTCTTCACGAAGTAAAGATATGTTTTCTTTTTATTTACTCAAACACTTTTTCCAACAATCTACAGCCAAATTACACTTATGCTAGAAATTTTATGTAACAAAACTGCTTAATCATGACAAATATTAACTGCAAAATTGGGAAAAAGTGCACAATCGCAAACTCCTTGCGCGTTTTTCAGAATAGCACATACACATAAACCATTTACACGTCGACTTATTTTTACTTAAAAAAACATCCCAGAATTGCACAAAAATAGCATTGCACACACTCTTAACTTTATCCATCTACACTGCTATTTTCTTATAAATTACAAAAATTTGCACGAAAATTTTGTGAATCTTTAAACTCGGTAAAAAGCACATATATGAAATTACCTGATCGTGAAAAAGTATATACCCTTTCCAAGGATGAACATTTCCACGTAAAAATAAATAAATATCCAAAAACTTTTACCTCTAAATTATCTATTATATTATAAACTTCACCAACGATTCATACCGCAAACATTACAAATGGTTGCAAATACTTAGTGTCAAATATTAAATTATTTCCATACACGTTTACTTCAACTGAAACGTATACCAAAAATTCCTACAAACATAAAATTCACAAAATAACTATCATTTAATTAAAATATCACTAAACCATGTACATGTCGACTTATTTTTACTTTAAAAAAATATCCCAGAATTGCACAAAAATGGCATTGCGCACACTCTTCACTATATCCATGTGCACTGCTTTTTTCTCATAAATTAGAAAAATTTCACGAAAATGCATGAAAATACTCAACGTATTCTACTCAAACGTATTCCAAAATACTACAAACATATAACTCACAAAATCACAATCATTAAATTAAAATATAATTAAATTAAAAAAACTACTTAAAATATAAATAAGTACATACATTAAAATAATAAAAATTAGATTACAATCCTAATTACTTTAAACTAAATCATTGCTAATAACAATTTTCCAATAATATCATATTAATTTATTTACTCCTTACATTTAGAACAATGTATAAAAATAATATCCTCAAATGATTAAAAATACTAACTTACCTAATCTTCAGAATCTTCATTACGTGGCACGCACACTTCCACTATTTCACACAACACACAATGAAGCTTAATACAAAATAATATAGTACTACAGTTTTCCAAATTTCCCCCCCTTTTCCGATTAAAGAACTGTAATTCGTCCATTAATGTCACATGACATATCTCATGATCTCTCATTTCCCTCACACAAAATAATGCGTAATCAGAACTGAGTACTTCTCACATTATTACCAAAGTCCTAGGTAGTAACCTTTATCGCCTCCAAAATGTCCCAAACTACCAGTTACCATATTCCATAGATCAGCCAAATTAAAAAACATCACTTAAAATATAAATAAGCACATACATTAAATTAATAAAAATTAGATTACAATCCTAATTACTTTAAACTAAATCATTGCTAATAACAATTTTCCAATAATACCATATTAATTTATTTACTCCTTACATTTAGAACAATGCATAAAAATACTAACTTACCTAATCTTCTTCAGAATTTTCATTACGTGGCACGCACACTTCCCTACAGAAAGAGTTCCAATCGGCTGCAGTACTACTGCTAATTTCTAAATCCGAAATCCAGTAGTCAACTGGCAGTCTATTCACCCAGTAATAAGAAATTAATAAAATTTCACCCATACTCAAACTACTTTCAGCAAACCACGTACCCTTCCTTACACTCCGTTTCACAAAATGTTTCATTCGTCATATTTTATAGTATGATGAATGTAGCAGCTATAAATGCTCAAATAATATATCCTGCAAATAACTTATCAATCAGCACCAGGCGCAGTGAGTTTTTAAAACTTTTGGGTAGCTTATGATTCCTTGCGTAGACGTTCTCAGTGTTCATCATTAACCAGAAATCTCAAGCAGGATATTCAGAGGAATTTTCCCAGATGAGGGTACAGTTCAGCTTACAATGAAGAGGCTTGAGCTACTAAAAGGCAAGAGATGTTATGAATGTGGCCATTCCAAGAACAGGTACACTAAGTACAAATGCCGCAGTTGTAAAAAATTTCTATGTTTAGAAAACGCTCAGCAAATATGCGTGTGCAACTACCTAAATGCATATAATTTCACTTGTATTTTTCAGTTGCATTTGCATTAAGTTGAATAAAATTAAGTTTTGTTATTTGCATTTGTAATATGATACCACAAATATTATGTGTGTTATTTCAATAATGCCTTTGCATTCATAAATTTGAATTGAATAACCTAAATATATGTTAGTACAGCAAAAATATACCTGGCGTCTGTTAGACGCCATGCGACCTTTAACGTAACAATACGTCATCGTGAGCACTGCAGGGTTAAGAAACAGATAGGAAAAAAAAGGCAGCTCCACATCTTAGTAGGAATTGAAGTACATATAAATTTTTTAGATAACAGATTTTTTTTTTTTTATTTAGAATTCTTTCAAAGGTTTGATGCAGCCAGTAATTCCACCTAAATGTGAAAGTTATTCGTTGTAGAAACAATGTTTATATTTTTTATGGGCAACTCTGTTATAATATTCTTTGCAAGATCATCACAGAAAAAATTCAAAGATAATGGAAACAGAAAACTCAGATTTGAAAAATGAACTCCACTGGTTTTAAGTAAATTAAAATAATGTAAAATAATCAGCATGTAAGTCATCAATCTAATTCTAAGAGAAACACAATAATGTAAGATTTAAAATTAAGCAAAAAAGCAATTTTTGTTTGGCACAGGTTTGAAATGAAGTTTTATTAATTTCAAGGGCCAATAGACATGAATAAGAGGGATGTACATATCATCACCCCAAAATTAATGGTTTTATTCAAAATCTATGTGACTAAGGTTATCTTTTTTTGTCTAGTTTTAAATGTAAATTATTGTTCTGGGGAAGGGGGAAAGATGGTTCTGACTTTCTATTTTAAAAATCAGATTTGTGAAACAAATTTACTTCAAGCATATTAAGACTGACTTCTCTAAGTTATTCCAATTAACAAATGCAATGGAAAGATCAATCCAGTAGATTTAACTAATTATGTAAAAGCATATAGGTAGTTTTGTTAATGAAAAATTAAAAAAAAAAAAATAATACAATGATTTAAAGAAGTAAAGTTTAAAACTAGACTTAATCTACTTCAAGGGTTAAAAAAAAAGAGAGAGAGAGAACCGAATTTATATATTTTAGCATTTCCTTAAAGTAAAACCCATTTGGTAACAAAAAAAAAAAAAAAAAAAAAAAAAAAAAATGCCAGAAATTGAAAGACATATTTTTTACTCCAAAAATACATATTTATTCCACATTGACACTCATGGACCAAGACCTCTTTCATTCTGACGATAGATATATCCCTCTGATACACATATGCCACCAAGTTCACTGAGAAAAGCTGTTACTACCTGGTAGAATTCTTCATTGTTAATAAAAAAACTTTCTTCCTCAACACTTAATTTCACAAGAAATTGGTAACTACTGCAAGTGAAATTGAAGCTTGTAGGTCAGCTAATCTTAAAACTTTCCATACAATGTTCTGAAGCAATTATTATATATATAGTTGGATTTTGACATGGTGAAACAGGACACTGCTCTTCACAGTATGCATTTATACAGATGGTTTAATCATGGGATATAAACTCAACAAGGACTGGAGAACATCTATCCCAAAATGTATGCAATTAACCATGGAATATATGCAGATGGTTTAACCATGAAATATAAACTCCATAAGGACTATAGAACATCTGTTTCAAAACACAATTGTCATTGCTTTTTAGACAAAGAGGTCTATTTGGCTTTCTTTGATACAAACTCAGGTTTTATCTGCAGTCATAATGGAGAACAGAATATCATCATCATTGTTTAACTACTGCACCTGAATGTCAATAGAGTAATTTTACACAAATAAAACCTTTCAGGTTTTTCAGTTTGCAGATTTCATGTTCTGACAGAAAGCTGGGTTCTAGTTTAAATTTTGATGAAAAGTATAAGTACGGTAAATGTGCTTTAAGACATTAACAATTATCAAGATGTTCTTCCAAGTATAAATTTGTATTTTGGAGTTCCTAAAATCTGCATAAATAAGAATAACCAAAATATAATTTTTGCTAACAAATTTAAACAATTTTTTTTTAAACTTGCATTTTTTCTTCCACAGATTAAGTTACTGATCAATAAAACAATGGAAATTACAATGACCTTCAAACTGATAAACTACTTTGGTGTAAGTTAAACAAGTTAAACTTATTTATAATGAAAACTGCAGTTCATGTTAATATTAGATTTTGATCAATTTTTAAGAGTTAAATTTGCTCTTTGAATAATAATCACACTCAACCATAAATATCAGTAAAATATGTCTCAGTGCAGTGCAAATAATTCTGGCACAATAATTTTTTATAGTTTTATAATAATATGTTCCGTATTTATAGTTTTATAATAATATGTTCCGTATTCTATCCAGAAAAATTTAAACATCAGAAGAGTCTAGACAGACCATGAGAAAACTCCATTAACTTTATGCAGGTGCATATCATGTTCCAACTTTTCAGTTTGCTTTCGAATGGGATATAATGGTACACAGTTGCTTATCTCGAGCCCATTATTTTAAGCAACAATTTGACAGTAATTTATAATTCAGATCTTATAAAAGTATTATCAGAAAGAGCTATTTTAAACAGATAGTTACTTTTATGTTTTTATTCCAAGAAAAAAGAACAGAATTGTGAAATATTTACATTTTCTTATTATCTCTGTTAATATCATTACAATTTACAAAAAGTTTTTCCTATAAAATATAATTTATATTCTGTATGTGCAATATAAAAGAAAGACCCATTTTTCTATAATTAAAAAGTTGTGAGTAAATTTAACAGCAATGCAGTACTTTAAACCAATTTTAAAGGCTGTCATACCAGCAAGTACGAATTTCGCGCGTACACCAAATTCACACTTCAACAAATCGTGCACTTTTATGATAACTTCACAGAAAAATTTTCAACAGATTTATTAAATAAATTTATTAGCCACGACACCATGCACAGCACTGTTTTAAGAGAAAAGAAAGAAAATGATGAATATTTAGATGCAAATTGTTTAAAGGGCACATTATTAATGCATGCCAAAACAAGTAGTATGTATTGCGGAAAATTACCTAACAATGAAGCTTCGTCAGAAGAGATAATAGATATTTCAAAGACAAAGAATTATAATACATATAATCAACGTAATAAAATGGTTCAACTATATTGAATGGTGTTAAAACTTTTAGCGTTGAGATGTTTAATCCTTCTGCCCAAATGTGCACTGCGCCATTTTACAGATTGGAGATTAACGAAATAATTGGTATTTAGAATAGTTCTCTGTCAGGTAATCTTATAAAATCACAGACATAAATAATAAGCAAAGAAAAGCAATGTTTACTACATGATTGAGTACATGTCACTTCTTATTTTCGATTATTAGGATTACAGGGTTGGCAATACTAAATTTTTACAAATAAACAAAAGCTTTTGCACCATGAAATATGGCTGGAAGTTTAAAAGATCTAAGGAGTATACTCAGAGAATATAAGTTAATCAGCGATAGTTCAAGAATTCCTGGAGAATTCCTTGTATATGAATTAAAGTTTTAGTAAAATCAAATTATTTTATGACTGCTAACATTAACGCATGCTTAATCCAAATTGATACATTACTGAAATTTTGAATCATTGAATTTTTTTAGAAAAGTTATTTATGACTACTGTCTTTAATCTCGTGATTTATTGGCGATATTTTAACACAAATAACATCCTTTTTTATTTTTTGGAAGTTTAACAAAAGTTTATTCTTTTTCAATGTTTCATTTTTATTCTGTCACACATTATAATATATTTCTATTACAGGACCCTAATCACATTTTTTATTTTACAAAATGATGCGATAAAAATAATTTTTATTTTTTTTAGATCATTTCCATATATTGTTATTCCGCTGATTCCAATTTTCTGAAAGCATTGACTCCACCATTGGAGGAAGTAAGAAAAGAAGTAATTTTGTTACACGACCTGTTACTTACAGATGGTACTGAAAAGCTTAAGTGTTTCTTGGCTTTACCTCTAAGTCAACTTGTTCAAAAGAATGTGGTTAGTATGGATCTTTGTTATCAAAAATAACTTTAACTGAAAGTTGTTCAACAACTTATTTTATGTTAATTATTCATCTGCTTGACAGTTCTAAAAATATGCTGGTTTGAAATATAAAATTAGCCAACCACAGTTTCTTATTCATTAAAAAAAAAAAAAAAAAAGGCATTTCTAGGGAGAAAGAGATAAAATTCATATCTTAAAATGCATATTATGTGTACAATTATCATTAAGCTGAAGTTAAATGTTAACTGATTTTTTAATTATGAGTTGATATGTTACCAGCAATGTAGGAAACATTGGCATTCTATAGAATACCTAGGCATTTCAAAGAATGCCTGGTGTTTTTGGGCAAATTATGAAATATTATAATTATTAGGTAGACTTTATATATAATATTTAGGTATTCTGTGAATGCCAAATGCTATTTAGGACAAGTATGAAAAAAGATCATGATAAGGCTATTTTTTAGAAGGTGCATGTTCCTTAAAAATAAAAATGTTATTTTGAAAATGATTATTAAAAAATTATTATTCAAAATATGTAAACATTGTACAAAACAAAATTTATGCCTTTCATATCAAAGAAAACAATGTGTGAAATGCATCAAATTATGGATTAAATGTATGGATTACATATGAATGTAGTAAGTGAATGAATATTTGAAATGAATTGAAGCTATATTTCATACTTTGCCAGTTTGTTATTTGGCATTCTGTCGAATGCCTAGGAAAAGTATGAAAATGTTAATCATTTCTTACATTGCCATCCAGATTTTGATATTTGATAAACTGCCTAGGTGTTCTATAGCTTTCATACATTGCCATTAACATGTATACTCATACAGGGTTTAAAATATAATTTATAAAAGTACTACTTAAGGACACAAAATTCGGTACTATTCGGTTTCGAGGGCCGTAAAAATTGCAGCGAAAGTGTATGCGCAAAAGCGCCAAATCTAGCAAACGCGCCCATTTAACAGCTCGCCAAATCTAGCGTACGCGCTGATTTCAGATTGCGTAAGTTTATATAGTTCTGTATTTCTTAAGACGCCATTGAAATACTAGTTTAATTTTTAAATCATTTTTTGATTTTAAATCCTTTTTTGATATCCTATGGATTTAACAATATGGGAATTGCCATGACGAAAAGTCGACAATAGAATTTTGGGTAAAGTGCAGAATTGCCCACTGCTTGACGCGTTTTTTAGAATTGCACATTGGTATCCATGTGCACATCGACCTATTTTCACTTTAAAAAAAATTCCCAGAATTGCACAAAAATGGCACTGCGCACACCCTTGACTTTATCTATGTACACATCGACCTATGTTCACTTAAAAAGTAAAAGAAAATTGACAAAAATCCAATTGCTTTTTACCCTTGTAAAAAGCGGCAAACAAGTAAGTGAGCGATTCTGCACTTTACCGAGAATATTTTCAAAGAAAAGGCATCATTCATTATAGAAAATTATGTTTGAACAACCAACGAGATGAAATTATGCTTTAGCGATAAGTCGGTAGCGAAATAGCGATGCAGGCATCCATTCAGTTATGTTTAGCAATTTTTATATAAATTATAATAATGATTTGAAATAGTTATTGACTCTTATGCTTTCATTCAGTCCTGTTTAGCCTTTTTCATATAAATTATAATAATAAAAAAGTATTATATGAAATTAACCTTTCATCTAAATTAAAACATCAATCTTAAATAGTTATTTACTATTATACTTCCTTTCTTGACGCAATTATTAGGGTTGTCGCAATTATTTTTGGCAGCATTGGCATTAACAATAGTTTGGCGATTTTTTACGGCCCTCGAAACCGAATAGTACCCAAAATTCTTAATATTATTTTGGTTACACATTGGTTTATTTTGTGGCATTTTTGAAGTCCTTCAAATATTCCCTGATTATAATTTGCAATTAAACTATAAAATTGATTAAAAATACAATTAAACTATAAGGTATTTCTCCCACCTTCTTAGCATGCCTTTGTAGTGTAGTGGTCAGCACACTGGGCACATTTTCCAGATGTCCGGGATTCCTTTCCCAGTGAGGGCGTTGCTCATTTTTCATCTTTTCTGCTTCGAAACAACCTAATGTCTCTACAGTGGCGCCCAAACTAAAATGGACGGTGGATGATGATTCTCCACCTCCAGGATTTGGTGATTGGGTCCAATAATCCCCAGTCGACCTTTAAAAGGGGGAGTATAGTATTCCTCCCACCTTCTTAGTATACCTTCCTAGTGTAGTGCTCAGCATGCTGCGTGCGTATTCCAGAGATCCGTGGTTTGATTCCCGGCGAGGGGGTTGCTCATTTTTCATCTTTTCTGCTTCAAAATAACGTAATGTTTCTACAAAACAAGCTTATCTGTTTTGCTCAATATGGATCAAATTATAAGTGAATGTAAAAACTGAAATAATATCTGCGTTTGAAGTAAGTTAGAATTAAGCAATGTAATTTTATACAGTATATACCACATGTAAGTTAGTGGTTAATTTGTTGTTGCCTTTTATCACCTGGTATCTGTATTGTGCTAAATAAAATAATTTGCATTTAATTTTTTTATCATGTATTGAAATGTTTGCCTGTTAAATATACAGTGTAAATGTTAGATCAAATAGTATGCTATATATACTGAAAGAGGAGGAGAGGAAAAGAAAAATAAATCATTTCAAAACTATAATCTTTCACAAAATTAAGTACATAAAAATAAATTAAAGAACATTAGCTGTAAAGAATTTAGATTAAGAAGGAATGAAAAATTCAAACTAATTCAGTGTCATATGTAAGAGTTTGTTTTGCGATGCTTTGCTTCATATCACATTTTTTATAATTAATTATTTGAAATATTTATTTTGTAGTGAGTTGTATTTCTAAATTATTGTTGTGTCTCTAAGTTATTGTTATATGTACTCAGGATTATATGAGGGTCTTAAATCCAAAGTTAAGAATTCTGCATTTGGTTGGGATGCAAGATAAATCTATAATATCTTTATAGCCAAAATTATAGGCATAATTTTTACAGTTATAATTATTTAATAAGCTATGATAAATGAATTAAATGTATGCAGTAAGTGATAGTTCATTTACATTCATTATGTATAAATTATAATAAATGATTAATATATCAAAAACTCTATATATTAAATATTTTATATTTAGAACTGCTAGTTTTAATATTTTGTTAGAACATATATTTTTTGGAGTGAAACATGTGACTTTTAAAATAAATTAGATCCAGCTAAGGTTAAGTATTAAAATATGTCTGTTATCTATTTAATTATATTTAGGCCTTCAATAAATTTTTATGTTCTTTTCTTTCCTTCTAAACTTTATGCATAGTTGAAGTATAAGGTATTTTCTTCCCTCCTTTTGGCATGCCTTCATGAGCACACTTGGTGCATATTTGAGATGTCCAGGTTAGAGTCGGCAAGGGCATTGCACATTTTCCATGTGTCTTGCTTAAAAAAAAAAAAAAAAAACTGAAAGTTTTCAGATTTGTGTTCTTCCCACTTAAATCATAAAATTGAATTCAACAGCAAAATCACAAAATAGTTTAAAAAGAGAGTATCTTTAGAATTTCCGATTCACAGTCTTGCGCGCTGGAGATAATTTTTTTTTTTTTTTTTCCGTATAGTGTTGCCATTGCTTGCTTTGAAATTAGTGAGTTTGTTAAACAAAAATTCGTTAAAATTTTTACAAAATATGAAATAGATTATAAAACAGATTCCAAATTTGGACTTCCAGATGCCCATATTTGAGTGGAGGACTACATTATTCAAAATTTGATGTCTCTAGGTACCATTGTTTTTTTGCAGTGCAAGAAATATACATACATTCATGCAGATTCTTCATTATTTAATTTTTTTTAAATATAATGCTAAACAGTAATATTTGGTGGCAACTATTTGAAAAGTGAAACACTGTTTATATAGTGAACCAATGCAAAATGCCAAAATGAAATGAATAGCCTTTCTGGGCAGATTGCATTTTTGAGCTTAAAAAAAAAAAAAAAAAAAAAAAAAAAAAAAAAAACCCTAACGACTCTACAGAAGATTTATCTATTTAATTTTGTTATTATAATGTAATAACAAAATATTATAGACATATTATATATATAATAAATATGTAAAAAAATTTGTTTAAATTTAATAAATATGTAATATATTTTTATGAAATCAGCATGGAAAGAGAATAAACTATTCCAAAATTATTATAATTAATAAAATTGTTATTTAGGCAAGATGTTTTCAGTTTGTGTCATATTTCTTTTTTTTCCCTTTCTATGATAATGTCATTTTTGTTTTATTTATGCAAATCATATTTATATACATATATATATATATTGGTATTTTAGGTAAAGATCGGGAGCTACTTGCAAATTCAAAGAGCTAAAATGTGTTATTTAGAAGGTGAATATAATGATTCCCATATAGTTGAATATGTTTTATTGGAAGCTGTAAAAATTATTGATTATGCTGCTGTAACATTTCCCAATCTTGGTAATTATCAATTTATTTTTTTAGATGCTTTTTTTATACTATATCCATTAATTTTTTTAATGAAATAATAAAAATTGCTGTATTTCCTCCATGAATTGTTTATAAATTCCAATATTTCCTAATTAATATACTATTATTGTTATGGATGAAATTTGTTTTAGAATTCATGGTTGCCCAATCACTTACTTGTTTGTTTCTTTTAAAAATATTGTTTAGTTATGTGTGTGAATGGGGGGGGGACTTAATGTCATCAGTGATGTTGTTTCATATGAAGCAAAATATATCTGGTTTAATAAAATCTTGATTTAAGCCAAATCATTCTGCTATTGTTGTAATATAATTTATAAATGCAAAATGCTCATCTGTAACTTTTTTTAGTATGCTGGTGAAGGCATCCAGTGTAATAGATATTTTTTTTTAAGGACAAATGACTGACATAACTAGTATAAATATTAAATATTGAATTATGCAGCAATGGCGCAAAGAATATTTAATTAAATTTGTATTTAAATTAAATTTATTTAATTAAATTCAATTTATTCTTATGAAACAATTGATTTTGCACTTGATTTGCTTATGCTTCTGAATTTAAATGATATTGTAGATTAGTTCGAGAATTAAATCTTTTATATGTTTGCACATTTTTTAAAATTAAAAAAAAAAAAAAATTATTTTGGCTTTCTTCTTTTTTTTTTTTCCTTTAAATTTGCTTTTTTCTTTTATATGTGTTTGTTAAAATTTAAATTTGTTTAAATATTAAATATTGAACATATTTTCAGGTTTAAAATTATCTTAGGTATACAGCATCATAAGGACTTTTGCAGATGGGTTATCTATGAATGCTCCTATAGAACTGTGTATGATAATGCAATTTTAAGCATATAAATTTAATTCCCATTATTTAACCCACGAGCTCGTGCGCTGGGTATCTCATACCCAGGGGCATATTTTTTGTCCCTTATTTCAAAACCCTTTTCCTGGAAATGGACGAAACCTTTTGTAGCTTAACTTCAAGGTCACATTCATGAAGCTGGGAAATCCGTGGAGTGATTCTTCAAATACTTTTCTAGGAATTGTACCATTTGCGTATGTGACACCCGCGCGCCTTCTCACGTCTCTCAAATTTTCACCCTTGCTTTCTTAGTTAGTCAGCATGGCGCTGCATCTAAGTTATGATAAAAAAACGGAAAAGGTTGAGAAATATGCTAGAAACTATTTCAACAGATGATGAAATGTTTAGAGAAGAGGAAGAAGAATTAATAGATGAAGAACACAACAGCAATTATAATTCATCAACAGACAGTGATACAAATACTGAATTAGATAGTGAATTAGAGAATCAACGAAATGATGAAAATTATGTTGGTACAAATGGCTTGGTATGGAAGAAAAAAAAATTCCAAACGAATGTTAGGACTAGTTCTAAAAGCATTATCTTTAAAATTCTTGGAAATACTGGTTATTTGAAGGTGGAAGATTACTCAAATCAATGGCGGCAGCAAATCATGCTCCCTTTGAAACTAAAAGAAAAAAAAAAAATTTCAGGAGATTGCAACATGGAAACACCATTCAAAAAAGAGGAAAATGTTTACAGGAGATGCACTGAGTGTCCTAAAAACAAGGACAGAAAGACACGATTTCTGTGTGAGAAATGAAATATCAGTATTTGTATAGAGCATATGTGTTTAGTCTGCCAGAGATGTGCAAAATAATTGTATGTTAAAAACTTCATTTATTACATTCTTTAAAATATTCTAAAGTTCATTGTTTTTTATGTTAATCCACATTTATACTCATATTTATATTATTAATGTAATTTAAAACGTGGTAATTGCTTTCGGGTGTGACATACCCAGCGTGCCTTCTCATATTTGTAATTTTGGCACGCATGCTCGCGGGTTAACATAATAATTGCCTATTATTTAATGATAATTGGTACTGTATGTTGCTTTGGTGACTGTTCTTTCTCTAATAATTATTATTATTATAAAGTATTCATTTATGGTTTGCTGAGAAAAGAAATGAAATTCCTCTGGCAGATGCAAAGTAATGAATTTGGATCTGCTCTTGTCCAATACCCAAGCCAATACCCCCAGCAAACTTTTTCTTTTTTTAAAATTTTTTTGCCAAAAAGTCAGAAAGAATTAGATTGAGAGTAGCATATGATTAATGCTTCATGCATATGCAATAGACATTTTTTCACAGTATAGCATGTGAGGGTTCTGATTCTTAATTTCACTTCAGTACTAAATAAAACACCACCAAGGAACACAATCATTTATTAGCATAAATCTGTATGATCAATAATTTGCCACCATTACTGTAAACCAAAACATTCAGTCAAAGTTTATCACCAATTTTATGCCTATTGAATTATCATGTAGCCCTTATGCCAACTTGATGAATAATTTTTTTACTCTAATCACCACATGACTTTCAACTCATAGCAGCTTGAGAACTGACTCACGTAGTGATGTTTAAACTAGTTTTTGTTTTAAATGTCAATAATTAAATAAGAAATTGGAAAAAGGATCATACAGCATGGTAATCTTTTATGCTGATATTACACTTGGTGACAACTGCAGACTTCAGTGAACTGCATTGTGAAATGTTTAGCGGGTTGATCAATGTCCAACTGTAACTATTTTATTTCATTTTCTGTGAATTAAGAAACTTAATAATGCTATTAATGATTAAAATAGCTGAATGAATAAAAATATTGTCCTTATTCTATCAAAACATTTTGTAAAGAAATTCTCTAAAAATTAGATTTACTCTTGGTTGTTTTACAAATGGATGTACGGATGCTTTACAGGAAAGGTCTGCTGAATTTCTGATTCATTAGTAACAGTAGAAACTAAATTGGGCTGAGTGGAACAGAAAATATATGTAATGCATCAGAAACATTTAATGTCATACATAATTTGATACAAGTTAAAAATAATTAAAATTTTGATTTAGTATCTGAGTTGATGAGAAATTTATGACAATCAGAAACTTTGGGAATTTTCAATAAATCTGATGACAGCCACAGCTTAGAAGGTGATGTTATTTTTAGAAAACTTTTAAATTCAATAACATTTGAGGGCAACAGATATGTAGCTTGCTTTATGTGCAACAAATATGCAGGGTAAATATGAGATAATTTTGAGCTAACAGGAAAATAATTTGAGTTATTATGATACAGATTTAAAAAAAAAATCCTGAAGTTTCATGAGCTTTGCAAAGTTGTGATAGATCAACATTCATTAGAAGATATCATAGAAGAATCAGTCTTTAAAATCTGAAAAACAGTATGTTTTACTTCATCAAGCTGCAGTTAGAGAAAACAAACAAACCACAAAACTTTGACTTCGAGGCATCATCACATGCTGAAGGCATCACATACTGTCATTGAATAATCATTTAGACATAGATGTTTGTCATTTGAAATCTGTTTCACTACTTTTCAGATGAGGTAAATATGAACTTATTGCTTTTGGAAAAATTTAGTTGTGGCTCTCAAACTTTCTTGAATTCCAACATATGACTTTTACTGACATAAAGTGTGTCCACCCCCTGATGTATTTTAACTGGTATTTCTCTGTTCTATTGTCTTTTGAAAAGATAAGTAAAATTTTGAACCTGCCTTCAGCAAGAACTAATTATATTTGTTCGCATTCTGAAAACATTTAAAGACTATGGATTTCACAAAAATAGCACAACAAAGACCTCGCAGAATTACACAGCATCACTTAGATTCATATTTAAACAAATTTATCTGGTGCTAAATTTTCAGACAAGGTGACTGTCTTGTTATTATACATATTTTGAAATGCAATTTGAAATGCAATGAGGAATTTATGGTTGTTGGAATGATTGGTACTGGTTTAATGATTTTGTTTATGAAATGATTTCGGAGTTTGAGCTAATACTTATTCAGATTTTTTATTTGCTATATCCATAATGTGTATCTGTTGATTATCTAATTAAGTAGAGAGCAATATGCAATTATCTAACTAAATAAAGAGTGATCAGTTTCTACATTTTTCCCTAGAATGGGTGGTCCCAAATTTGTGGGATCTTTAGCAACTTTCATGGTTGATGAGGAAATATATAAGTACCCATTTTGCTTGTGAATTAAAATTTTTTTAGTTAACATAAAAATGTTTTTTAGTAGATAGTTTTCTGACACTCTCTGCCTTTTACTTGAAATTTTTCTTGTATTTAAATGCAGAGAATTTAAGGTTTGTTCAGTCCTCTAATCACAGAGAAAGTGAAATAATCCCCCTTGTGACTGGACGAAAGTATTACCTCAATCTATGGATACCCACAACGCCTTATGGAGAAGAATGGCTAGCTGGAAGTATGTATGATTAATTTTATTAGATATGTTTTATTAGCATCTTGGTAAATTTGAAGAATTTGCTATAAAAAAGCTTGTGGCTGCTATAAAAAAGCTTGTGAATTTGCTAAAAGGTTTTGACTTGGTTTGAACAATTTCACGAAGCTAAGAAATAGGAAAATTTGTGTAAATATTTTTGTATATAGGACTTATGTATATAGATATTTATCTCATTTATCCGTATATATTCAAGAATATTGTGTATATCCAGGAAACCATGTATACAGCCATAATACAGAGTTTTTTTCATTCTTATACAAACGCTTCTACTCATTTTCGTGCTTCACTGCAATGCTCGCTTAGTCGCATTTTTAAAAGCTCTGGCCGCGCAGTGTTCCACCTCATGGAACACCCACAGAATTGAAACGGTAAGTGTAATTTTTACAAAATTTTACCTGTATACTCCTTTAGGACTAAATAGACTGCATACAACTTTTTTTGTTGAAATTCTGAGGTTAAAGTGTAGTGCACCGCAAAGGGTTAACAAGGCCTTTTCTTTCTGCTTAGTTTTTATGTAATATTTTACTTTACATTTTTAGTAATCTCATTTCAGTGACTGAAACATCTTAGTAATCATCTTAAGTAAATTGCCTATCAATAATATACACATCTTGAATGAATTTATTTGTATAAGCTACACCTATAAATTTACTTAATTCATCAATCTACACATCTTAAATAAGATTTTTTAATCATTAAAATACAAATGCTGTTTTAATACTATTAGAATGATTTTGATGAAATAGAAAAGTATTATTGGGCTAACAACACAAAATTTTGAAACTTATAAATTATTATCTGCAATATTTTAGTATTCTGTGCATAAAAAAAATTCAGATATAAACAGTTTTTGGACCAAGATTAGGTATTTACTTTTTTTAAGAGAAATATTTTGTACTTGAGAAATAAAAAATGAATATTTGAAGATTGTAAATACCTTTTTCAAGTATTTCAAAAGTTAAGCCTTTGTGCTAACAACTAAAAGAGCAATCCATTATGTCTTTAAGTGCTTGTATATCAAAAGAAAGAAAAGGGGGGGGACGTAATTTCAAATGTTTGAAAAGCTTAAAATATTTATTAGCATTGCTTTTGGCTCAATACAGACTACATCTTAGAATTCCTTATCAAAATCATTTAGCCGTACTTAAAGGAAATACATCATCAATGTTCATAAGACAGAGATTTATTAACTGCTGTGAAAAAGTTAAATGTATTGTTGCAAGAAGGAAAAAGACCTACAGATTTGGTTGTAAGACTTCAGAGAAAGTATTAGTAAAAGATTATGATTATTACAGGTTTCTCTACAGAAGATGGCTAGGTAGAGAGGACAGCTTTTATGTTATCAAAATAAAGATTGGTACTTATGTATTAATGCAGGTGCCATGGTGCCATTTGTCAATCTTTTACAGGTGAAAAAGTAAAAGTTACTTTTTGAATGTAAGTTGGTGTATTTTGCAACTTTTTAAAAAAAGATTCTCAAGCTATCGATACTTATCACAAGTCAGCAGACATTATCCATGTATGAAAATGAAACATTCTTAAGGAATTTTAAATTCAAATTTTAATTAATAAGTAAGGATTACATGATATATTAAAAATATGACATTTAAATTCAAATTTTAGTTATTAAATAAGGATTGCATGATATATTAAAAATGAATTCTAAATTAAAATTTAGATTCCTCTCCAAAACGTTTTGTAATTGTTTTTTTCTGCTGTTTTCTTCAAGAACACTGTGATTTTTTTTTCATTAAAATAAATAAATAAATAAATAAATAAATAAAAATCAGAGAGTTGCAGAGATTCAGTATTGTGTAAACCTTGACAATGTTGTCTATCTACCAAACTCATCTTTTCTTTCACTTTAGAGATTTTCAGACAAAATTCTGCATTCCTTCAGAAATGTTACAGTTTCTCCCATTGCTAGCACGTTTTGCAAGTACATATTTTAAAATTCTGTTTAAAGGAAAAAATATCATGATTATAGAAATATCATAAAACATATCATGAAAACCATTGGAACTCCGAATCATTGGAATTGAGGAATCATGAACTTCGAATCATGGAAAAAAATATCATGATTATTGAAATATCATAAAAATATCATAAAACATAATATAAAAACCATTGGAACTTCGAATCATTGAAACTCGATTGAATTGAGAAAAATATCATAAAACACATTGGAACTTCAAATAAAACAAAAGGAATTCATATGAAAATGGCAGCATTGCTTGAATAAGAATTGTTATAAGCATTTGCCAAAGTTTTGTACATTATAAAAATCTACAACTTCAAGGAGGTGGCAATAAACATAAGTACTTAGTAATTTAACTCACATTGTTTAAGGAAAACATTCTTCTTTTTTATGCGTATGGACTTCAGATTATATATCTATTTCATACGGTGCAAACAAATCCAGTCAAACATCTTAATCTGTGGCTAAATTTCTTGCAAAAGCTAAAAGAGAGAAATATTTAATATGTACATTTTGCTCATATTTCTTCACTGGAATCCATTGATGTTTCATCATTGGTGTTTGGTATGTTAAAGAGAAACTTTGTAGCTACAGATTGATAACACTAATAGAGTTAGTTATGTAAAGTATTTCAAGATTTAAGAAAAACACCATTACTAACTTCAGCATATGATCCCTCAATTTGAAAATCAAAGTGTAGATTAGATTGATAATCCAGATAGGCTGATACTTTGAGAAATAAAAATTTGATGATAAATGGGGTCAAATTTGGAAATAAAATGCTGGTAAAATTGACAGGTATCGTATATTGCAATCACTTAAATCAAAATCATCAGTCTAAAGGGGAACTCCATTTCAAGCAATTGGTATTGTCCTGTGTTATTCTGTTTTATCCTGAAAATGATGGAATTTTTATTTCATTGTTCACTAATGTATAATAATTAATCTAAGATAATTATATCTTTCTTTTTTTAAGGTTCATTAGATTATCAAGATGGTGATAATGAAATTCAAAATATTTCTTTACTACAAGATATTGCTGATGATTGGTTGAGGCTGCCTAAACCTTACCCACCAATTTTTGTAAAAGTTATGGCACGTGGTAATTTATATCACTATGGTTATAATAAAAATGATAGGCCTGACCCTTTCATGGTGAGTGTACTAAAAGTATTCTGGTACACATTAACTTTTTATGCCAATAAATTTCATTAATTAAGTAAACTTTTTAAAAATCTGACCTTTAAAATGTATATTTTTTTAAACAAGTGTTAAGAAAATTCTACGAATGCAAAATCATGCAAAAAATTAATGAGGGTGTAAGATTCTAGCTTTACTTTGTTGGTTAGATCTTTACTTGCACTGTGAAGTGACTATTTGCTAAGGTCAAACTTAACAATAACAAGATGTGAGAAGGGTGAAAAAACTCTTATTCAACTTTAAAAAAAAAAAAAAAAAAAAAAAAAAAAAAAAAAAAAATTAACAGACGGAACTCATGATGCTTACAAACTTAACCAGTACTTTTGGCTCCAACTCAGAATAGAAATATAAAATTAAAGCTAAGTTAAATAATAAGCCAAAGTTGGACAGAGATAATTAACATGTGTTGGTTTTTTATCTTGCCACTGATGTAGACAAATCAGCAATTAATATGCATGGCAGTAAAATAGCAAACTTAAATCAGAGAAACAATGTGGCCAAATGGCAGAAAATGCTACTTAGACAACATTTATAGTATCTTTCTGCCCTATTTTGTATATCACGTGAAATTGAAATAACATTCTGGCAGGAAATGAAAATGAGGGAAGATAGAAAGACAAGTAACTGGACAAAACTCATTAGTTTAAAACTAAAATAACATTCTTAACAATCTACATTCTTTTGCAAAATCTTGCCAACAGTTCTTAATTTCATTCTCAAAATCTGAGTCTTTAGACCAAATTCGGCATTTCCAATAAATTAAAAATATTGTGATTATTTGCAAAACCAATGTCAAAGCTTCTTGCTTGTAAACAAAACTTAACAATGATGACCTCGCTTGAGGTAAAAATAAAATTGCATGGCAACTTCTGCACATGATACAAAATCAAACCGACTTTGAGTCAGAAAAAAAATTTTGTGCTTATCTTTTTTCCCTTTTGAAGTCCAACATTCTCTTAGTTATCAACTGGTCTTATGTGGGATATCTGTTCAACTCCTCAATTCTGAGCTTCCTTTGGGGATAACCTGAGTCTGGTTGGTAATCCTTCCTTATAGAACATCTGTCGACAAATCTCTTGACCTTCTTCTAGCATTGAGGGAATTGGAATTCCAAACCTCTCTTCCTGATCTGTGGAAACCTTGTCGCCGTCTCTTGAACTTTTCTGGGATGGATTTTCTCTGTTTCCATGGCCTTGCCTGACATGGAGACATCACCTCAGTGGGGTCGTTGTGCTTTAAATATCTGCGTGTGGGAACATCGATGACTCTTGGAGCTATATGACGTTTGACCTTTAGCACCTCTCCTTGGAAGATGCTTTTCTGATTTCTTGTCAAACTTTCTGCACTTTTTCCGCTTTCATTGATTTCTTATTGGTGTCCCTGTCTGTTTTGGCCTTTCTTGCTCTTTTGCCTTAATTGAATCTGCCTTTTAAAGGTTCTCTGCAGTTGAATTAGCCCTTCTTTTGCTTTCTGTTGCATAAACTCCAAAAGTTTCTGCAGTACTGGTACTAGCTTCACTAATGCTTTCCTGCAAAAATCTTTGAATGTTGAAATAGCTTTACGATCAAAATAGGGCTTGACCTGGTCCATATTTGCCACACTTTATTGCCATTTTTGTCTCTTAGATGTCAAAATTGGATTAAACTTACAATGCTAGGATTAAAGCTTTCAACACAATAATTAAATCTTAATTTACTACTATAGTCATACATAACTAGTGATCAAAATCATATTCATTTCAGTTAAATAAGATAAATAATTTGGCATCAGTAAAAGTTTGAATTAGATTTGTTGTGTAAATCACTGTAACAAATGATTATGCTGTGAAATAATAGGTAATGGATATCTTTTATAAATTCTACATTATTTACTTAAAACAAGTAAACTACCTGAGTCCACTTTGGCCAATATCATATTTTATAGATGAAATTCAAAGGTATCATATTCACTTCTCTAGTGGCAAACTTCTTTAGAAAGCATTATAATATTCCCATTCAATAAAGAATATAAATGATGTAATTTTTTATAAAAGCTCTATTCTTGTTTGAGTGTATTTTGTTGTATAATGCTTTTTCAGTGTTGTATTATTATGCATGTTGTTTTATTTATATATTTATTTTGTGTATTAATTTTAATTTTGTGCTTATTTATTGTGCATTTTGTGTAACTTTTAATTTTTTGTTAATATTTGTTTTTGTATATATTTAATTGCTTTGTTGTTTTGTAGAATTTCTAATATCTATCTGAACAGACGGTGGAATATATAATATATAAATAGCTAAAGTAAAATTAGATGTACAGGCTCAACGTTTTGATAAAATTTTATTACATTTTGAAAGATTTTAGAAAGCATATTTAAGGGCTTAGGAGTGAATTTTCTAAAATGCACTTCATTGATATGGAATATATTCACATATCAAATGATATTACTCCTTAATATTTCATTTAAAAAAAATTGGTAGATGGTTCAAGCTAGTCAAGTTTACTTTTTTAGCAAGACGCTAGTCTTTTAGTTGCTGAAATGCTGTCTTTTGATTAAAAGAATTATCATTTTCCAATCTATTTTATTAAGAACTGGGAACTTGTTATAACAGCAGTATAATGCTCAGAGCTTGACAAATAATATGAATTTTGACATATTTTGATGTTAATGATCATAAATTTGTAATTATGTTTGTTTTTTGTGTGTTAAATTTTCATAAAATTAAGAAAACCAAAGTGTTAAATATTAGTTTATTAATAATAAAGTTGTTGTAAATTAGTCTAGAATTTAATAGATGTAGGTTAATGTGGAAAATACCATTTTAAAATATTTATATATAAATTGTACAATTAAGTACTTACAGAAAATCCCATTGACCATTTTTTGCCTATTAAAGAAAAGACGCCAAACTACGCGTTATTTCGCCAAAAATGGAAAAGTCTTCTTCAAATACGCTGGGTTTGATGTAACCCTGATTACACATGTTAGTTATTATTCTTGAGTAAAGACTTCCTTTTTTCCCTCTATCATGCATTTTCGGAAAAAAAAAAAAAAAAAAAAAAAAAAAAAAGAATAAAATATGGGGCCTGCATACTACAGAAGAGCATGTTGTTGAATATTTCCAAAGTTATATATTCTTACAGGCCTAAAAAAATGTGCGAAGCGAGTGTCAATTTGAAATAGTTGGAATAATTACCAGAGAGAATTTTGCACACACAGCCTTTTATCAAGGCCAAAGAAAAAAATCTGAGGGCCTAACCACATCATGGAAATAGATGAGACCCTTTTTGCAAATGAAAAAATCAAGCTGGAAGAATACTTCCTGAGCAATGGTTGGAGGCATTTTTCACAGCGCTTTAGAAAGTTTTTTCATGTATTTAATGAATGGGTTTTTTGGTTTGTTACGATTGGTGCCGTCTCTTGTGGTCGATGGCATTTTCTATAAGTGCCTATATGGTGAAATAAATTTTCACAATCAGTTTAAAAAAAAATCTACCTCAATGAAAAGAAGCACTATAGCTTTAAAATTAAATAAAATTCAAATTGTAAGCAATATTTTGAAATTGAATATGATATTTTTGCTCATTCTCTATGGGATTTTGTTTTCAAGTGCTTGAAGTTCTCTATTAAAAATTTAGCTAATTGAGATTGAATTTTGCCTAGTTTAAATTTTGTTTAAATTTAGTTTTCGTCTGTTCTTTAAGCTCTATATTTTTAAAGAAGTATTATTTTTTTTATTATGACTGATATTTATTTTGTGCTCTGTAGACAAGCATGTCGATTGCAGATTCTTCTGGAACTTGTATGTGTGCTGTGTTTGGTAAAATAATCAAGTCATTGTATTATAGGTATGTTGTTTGTTCTAGATATTTTGTAAACTTAAAGTATTTGAAAATATTATGCCAGTACATTAGTACAACAGAACTGTAAATATCCAGGCTAATTGAGACTACAGTTCATCCAAATATTTGAAAAATGAAGGTAATTTTATATTTTCTTTATAAGAAAAATCCATATTTACTGTAATGCAAATGATTGTATAGGGATGCATTACTTATATTTTCTTGTTGTAGAGGTAAGCTTTAAGTTGAAGCAAATAATTTTCACACCAGAGAAATGCAGTTTTGATGTGATCTTACACAGGGTGTTTCAAAAAGAATCATGTGATTAAAAAAAAAAAAAACATAACCATTCTGCTTTTAATCCATTTTGATTGAATAATGTGTAAGTAGGAAAAGGAAAATCTCAAGTTTCATGCAGTTGGCGACATATAGCACTAACGCTCTTCCTTTGCCCACCTCTTCATTGTTTGGATGGATGGTGACAGCATAACAGAAATCATTTTGTGTACAATGCTTTTTGATATACAAGTGCGTAATAACTATTCAGTGTGATTTTTTTTGATAATATTATGGTGTTCAACGTTCTATCACTGAGAGCTTTAGGCAATTGTATAAACAATTCCAGTACATGGATTATCTGTATAAAAGGAAACTAGATGGCCGTCTCACACATCAAATGAAAAAGTGGAGAACATCTGAGAGAATTTTGAATGTAGTCCACAGAAATCCAGTTGCACTGCCAATAGGGACCTCGACATTCCTGCAATATCTGTCTGCTGTGTTTAGCAGTGACATTTGTTTTTCAAATGGTACAAGATTCAATTACTGCAAGCTCTTCATACAGGTGACAAAGAATGACATGTGGAATTTTGTGAATTGCGTCCTTGAAAATGTGTCACAAGATCACATTTTTTAACATGCTTTCTGTTTAGTGATAAGGCTACTTTTCATCTAAGTGGCAAGGTCAACCACCACAATGTTAGAATATGGGGTATGTTAATGATTAATCAAAATTTAATGATTTTTGTGCTATCTCTTGGAGAAAGGTGTATGGTCCCTTTTTTTTCATACAGGACACTGTTACAGGAATCACTTATCTTGATATGCTCGAAAACTGGCTTTTCTCACAATTAGAAACCAGTTTGGATGACTTGGTTTTCCGGCAGAACAGGGCACTATCACACTGAAGCTTGCACATTTGAAGATTTTCTAACAATTGCATTCGCTACCAGTGGATCAGACGTTCAAGACTTGATAATTCAGTTTAACATGATTGGTCTCCAAGATTACCCAATCTCTCGGTGTGGGATTTCTTCTTGGGAGGGTTTACAAAGGACTCTGTGTATGTTAGCTGAACTGAAAATAGAGATAAGAACAGCTTTGGAAGCTGTGGGTATACTTATGCTGAGAAAAATTTGGGATGAATTTTACTACTGTATAGACATACTAAAGACGTTTAATAAGGTTTGGGGAAAAAAAAAAAAAAAACATTATTGTTAGCCATGTAATATAAAATTAATCTTAAATTTCTATGTTCAATATTTATTATAATATATGCATTTCAAACTGGGTGATTCTTTTTGAAACACTGTGTTTTGAACAGATAGTACAATAATAATAATGCTAAAATAATGCTCTGGCAATCCTTGTGTTAAAGAAGAAGTAAGAATTTTATCATTTAAATTAATGAAGAGCTCTATTTTAAATAATATTTAATTTCAGAAATATATATCTGTATCAAAACTGTTACACAGAATCAAAATAAAATTTTCTAATGAAATATTTTCTGAGGTTGAGAATAACATTAAGTATTTTCTCTTTTAATGAATTCCAGTCTTCTTCAGCACATTCATGGACATAAAATGATAAGGCTTCGCTGCCTTACAGAAAATCTGGGATAATGTTTAATTATATTTTTTCAGAAATATTTTTTTTGCAGTACAGTGTTTTTCAAAAAAACATAAGCCATGCATCAACAAGTATATTGTTAGTGGGATCAAAAACAGGGCACCTAAATTTTTCTTTGTTCATGGAAACAATTTTGGAATTATCTTTTGATATTTTGGGAATCTTGGACATGGTAAGCATTTATAATTAAAGATAATAATATGTTTTTAAAACTTTTTATAATCAAGTTTTATTTATGTTAATTAACTAGTTATTTTATGTTACAAATCTGTATTGTTTTTTTCTCTTTCCATTTTCCTGCCAGAATGCAAATTAGCTTGTCTACTGAAGGCCACATTACTAGATGCTATTCTACTATAAGCATTCCTGTCTGCAGCATTGGTTTAATCTTATAGATAGTGCTGTAATGCTAGTGTAGAGTCGCATGTTTTGGTAATATACATTAAGTCAAGACTCCTACTTAGATTTAAGTGACTTATTGCTATATCTGTATAAGCAAACAGAAACATATGAAGGGTGTAAAAGACCCTTTTATTTAAAACTAAGTAAAAGGAACAAAAGGCACACCTGATGCTTACAAATCAGCAAGCATTTATGACATGAATTCGAAAGTAGAATTTTAAATTTAGTTAAATCAATTAACTATTGCCAAAGGTTATGCAGTGATATTTAAACATGAAAATTGGCCCTTAACCTACATTCGCATGACAGCGCAATTGGGAAGAATTATGCAACACCACAGACAAGTATGCTTATTGTAGAATAACACTAGTCACATGGTATTCAGCTGGCAGAACACGCTTTCTAAAGCAATCTCAAACTGTCTATTAAATATACGCAATGTATATTTAAGTGAGATTTGCATCCTAGCTGGAAAACCTAAAGAGAGAGTGACAGTACATAAATAAACCTTACAATTTTAATAATGAATTAACAAATATCTTTATAATAATGACAAAAATAATTTAAACGTACATTATTAACAAGATATTGACACCATCAAATATATTCAAAGATCTGTAATTTCAAAATTGGTAATAAAAAGTAAATGAATAAATTGTGCAAACAATTGAGCAAATTATACTGAGCAGGAAGGTTACAGGAGAAAACATTGCAGCAAAATCATCGTGGATGAAAACGTTGCAGAGAAAACTATGCAAGGCAAAAACGTCATCATATAAAACAAAGTAAGAAGAAAACATCGAAGTATAATACGTTGTTTTAAAAAATAAAGCTAATCAAAAACTTCGCAGTGTAAAAACATTGTCATTTAAAATATTGTAGTTAAAAATAAAGCACCTACAAATCATCACATGACAATAACATTGCAGAAATGTGTTTTTCAGGCTTTAAAAGTCGGAAATGCATAATTTTGTAATGATTTGTAAGATGAAGAGAGGATGAGGTGTATTTTTGACTTACACTAATAAATTTTTGCTGAAAAATTAAGAAGGAAACTAAAGCATTCATAAACTGAAAATGACTAGAAAACTAATGCTACTTATAGCAGTCGACAGAATTTTATTATTTGAAATTAATTAAACAATTTTAATAGAAATAACCACATGCAGTTATTCATCTTTCCTTTTCTAATCTTTTTTAGACTATACTTTGCATGAAAAATTCCAATAAAACTTAATTTAAAAGAGATTATTTAATTAATGTAAGATTACCCTCAATAAGAACATAGTAGAGCACGACTTAAACATAACTAACTACTTTATTTTACTAATATGAAATAAAATGAAAGAAAAGATGAATTAAGGTGAAAGTGAATATTACAGCTGGTAACTTCACAATTAAAGTCCAAACAGGATTCATGTAATGATGAATATTTCTCACGCATTATCAGTTCTTGATATAAACATTCATAAGGCATGTCTGCCTTGTATGGCTAGCTATAGACAACATGAACAGCTTGGCTACAACGAACTTGAGCCTCCTATGTGTTGGTGTCTTGTGACCTCAGCTCGCTGGGTATTTGCTAATTCAGCATCGGTCGTCGATGATCTTCACATTAATGACCGTTTTTTAATTAATTATATATTAGTTTAAAATCCTATTTGCTGCTATACCTTGCATTATTTTTCTACTCATTTTTAGTTTTTTAGTATCTTTCTTTTGTTTTCCTGCAAAAATTTTATTGCTGAATTCGAAAATATGAAATATAAAATTAAAAATATTCATCATTCCTTCTTCATCTCACAAATCATTATGTGAATATGCATTTACAACTTTTAAATCCTGAAAAATGCATGTCTTCAATGTTATCAGCATGTGATTATTTGTAGGTACTTTATTTTTTATCAGGATATATTTGATGATGATGTTTTTGAACTGCGAAGTTTTTCAGTCGTTTTACTTTCAACGACGATGTTTTGTACCATGATGTTTTGTTTTTTGCTTTGTTTTCTCCTATGTTTTGTAGGATGCCGTTTTCATCTTGCGTAGTTTCCTCTGCAACATTTTTGTCCAAGATGTATTTGCATTGATGTTTTTGGCGGACACTGAACAGTGTGATACATAACCTTGGAAATTGCTGAATATTTTCTCTGTACTTGCAGTTTAAACAGTCAGTAATTTGAAGCACTGGATAACCACCATTAAAACATAATAAATCATTTTGATGAACACACTTTTTTAACTTCCATTTCTTGATGGTTTCATTATGTAAGTGATGCATCAACAGATGGCTGAATAAGTTTTCCAAAGTGAACCATAATATTGAACTTTTCGTTTAAGTACCAGTGCACTTTAAAGATGCAGAAGGATCCTGTTGACTTTAAAATAAATGTAATGTTTTTGAATGTGAAAGGACACAAATATTTTCAGCTGTGGCTGTAAGTGGTGATGCTGTTGAGAAGCATTATTACATTGTTTCAATCAAACATAGCCATCATGACAGTTCAACACACTTCATTACTGAAAAAAACAATTCTCGGGAAGTATATTCCCATTATGAATTTTACATTACAATGGGTTCAATTTGCATCCATTCTTCATCAAATTTTGTATCTTTTTTGCATTATAATTGATGATATGGAGAGGCAAGCTACAACATATTAGCTGGAACCAAACAAGGGCATAAATGTGATGAA